TTGGTCTAATGGTGATATATATAAAGGAATTTATAAAGCAGGAAAAAGACATGGAATGGGAATTTATTAAAGTAAACATAAATTTTAATTATATTTTTAGCTAAATTATATACATATGAAGGAGAGTGGGTTGAAGATTTAAAGGATGGATTTGGAGTTATTACATTATTAGATAATAATTGTAAATACTAAGGATAATTTTAAAAAGATGAGTTTTTATTAAATTAAGATATTATTATCAAATTTCCAGATGATAGCATATATAAAGGTAAATATGATAATTATTATATAGGATAGATTCAAAATTATAAACCTCATGGAAAAGGATATTTATAATTTATTGATGGAAAAATTTAAGATGGAAATTTCAAAGATGGAAATTTTATCAATCAGGAACAAGCTGAAGAATAAAACTAAAATGAATAAGTTTCTTATCATTAAGAAAATTAAAATATAAAAAATACCATTTAAATAGATTCATCAGATTAATAAGCTATTTAACTAAATTAAACTATTGACTAATAGAAAAATTTATTATAATAACTAGATGATAGTTCCAATCAATCAACATGATTTATCATTCATAAATTAAATAATTTTGTATTAACAATTAATTTATAATAATCTAAGTTATTAATTTAGTTAAAAATTTATGAAAAATTATTTTTAATTTTATCTGTCTTTACAAGATATATTCTAAATATTTAGTAACTAGTCTAATGTTAAATGTAATAATCTTTAAAAATTAGTATAAATCTATAAAAAGTATACAATTCAAAATTCTTTTATTCTGATTATTTTATTAAAATTAAGAGGATAAATATTGAATAATAAATAATTTATGACTTGAGATTAAATTTTTTTAACAAAATATTTATTTATAATTGATTTGAATTAAAAAATATATCCACATTCAAAGGCCCAACTATACTAATTGAATAATATTATAGAAAATATAAGAGTATTATATATATATATTAAAATATCATTTAATAAACGAAATTCCTGCCAAATTTAGATTTGGTACCATAGCCTTTGTATTTCTTCTATTCATCGAATTTACCCTTAATTCACCTGGACTTTATAATTTATTAATTAATTCTACTCTACTTGATTTTCTTGGAATTTAATAATCCTCTTAAAGAAAACTATTTCTTGGAGGAGAACATAAAGATAGATGAGATTAATGAGAAGTTTTAATTGGTTTTATATTTGTTGAAGAAATTTAACTAAATTTTTAACAATTAATTTTACTTCACTAAAGATTATTGAATTTTTTCCAAACGATTTGCAGTTATAAATTATGTTTATTACTATTATTCTGATACTTAAAAGATATTTTTTGAGTCATTATTATTGAAAAATGATTTATAAGAACTTGAAAAATCAGTCCACTTAAGAGGTAATTTATATATTTCATCTTAAAAATTTTTAAGATTACTTTAATATTATTAATTAGTTTTGATAGTAATTTCATCTATGTTATTTAATATTATTTTAAATTGTTCAATATCATTTTAAATTCCAGATTATTATTATAATATACTTTTAATTTCATCTTTCATTATTTACATCTCTTTAATATCAATTTAATATCCATCTTCTTATTATTATAAATTAGTTGAATTTAGAGTTTCGAATTTTGAAATTTCATTCATGAATACTTCTAGTTTATCATCTAAATATGTATGTAAAAATTTAAATTCTGATTCAAGATCTTATTTAATTTTATTTGAAATTTCTCTTATTTTTTATTTATCAAATTAAATAATTCTAATGTTATCTAAACATTTTTCAATAGAAACATTGAGTTTTTCAATAAATGGATGACCTTTTATTTAAATTTAATCTTTTTTATTAATTTATTTTTTAGAAGTTGTATATGGAATTATAATAGGAGGTTATAATAATTATAATTTAACATCCATTAATGCATTAATTGTTTCATCATCTAAAATAGTATTATCATAACATGTTATACATTGAATTTAACTTTCATGCTATTGATAAAATTAAAAAAAATATACTTGTTTAAATAATTTGGCTAAACAAGAAAGGCAAAATGAGTGATCACAATCTAAACAAACAAATTTTTGAGGAACAATTTAGCATTTCTCACATTAAATTTGATTCATAATAGTTTTTAACAACTTTATTTAATTATATAATTTATAAAGATGTCTGATGATTGTGACATTTTAGGACCTTTAGGATTCGCTATATAAATTTTATTGGGCGTGTTTTCATTCTTTATTTTGATTTGTAATTAATAATCAATAGATTAGATAAAAGAATTGTAGAGAAACCCAAGAGATAATGGAAAGTATGGGGATTAGATACATCAAAATAAGGATGTTCATAAATATTTGCTCATTTTTTAAATGTTGCATTGGCTATACATTTATCAGGTGAATCTGATGAATGTGTTTGGTAACTAATATTTTACAATTAAAAGGTATTTAGCTACATTATTATTGGATACAACAATTGGTGTATTATTTAGTTATGTAATCCTAAAACTAGTTGAACTAACATTAGAGCATTTTTAAATGGCAGTAAAATAACAATCATTTAGAATTATCGTTCAGGAAACTATTTTTTGATTCTCATGCCAGAAGACCAAGTTTAAAAAAATGAAATGAATAATAAAGATAAAGTACCAGCAGGTACAAATCTTATTAAACCAATCATTAAAATTGATTTAAAAGCATGGTTTATTTAGCTAATTTTATGGATATTAGTTGTGTTAATTGTAAAAAATTCATTTTATTTGAATTTAGTCAAAATTCTTCCTTTTTTTATTATAATTAGCTATTGGTTTCATTTTGGAAAATATTTCATAATTTATATTATCTCCATTTTCAGATTTAAATACTCTTAAATTGATTATTGTAATGTGTATTATTCCTGTTTTTATGAATGGATTACAAGTAAGTATATAATTGATTATTTATAGTTTTGGGTTTAAGACAATTTCTTAAAAAAAACAGAATTTACTATTCAAGAAAAAAAATATGTGTTAAGTGAAATGTACGTAGATGAAGAATTAACTAATTTTGCATAATTAGATAATTTTGTAAATAATCCAGTATTCATTATTTATTAAATCTTTGACTTAGGAAGTTAAAAGTGATAATTGTTTAGATAAATTACATATAGAAATGGGAAATGTAGGTGTAGGGATATAATAAAATACAAAAGGATATCAAAAAGCCGATTTTGAGTGATTTTATAATTAATTATTCATAATTTTATGAGAAATTCTATTTAATTATTAATATAAATATAATTCAATATCTTTATTAGTAATTTATGATGACTTAATTCAGTATGCAATTGAAGCCATCATTTTTTTTTATTTTGCATGTTATAATAAAATTATGCTATCATCAAATCTCATGTTTAAATTTTTACAATTCAAAACAACAATAATATAATAATCCATTTCATTAGAACGATATGCACTTGCTAAACAAGGTCCAGCAGAATCAGTAATTCCAGTTTTAATTCCAAAGAATCCTTTTTCTAATAATTTATTTGTATTTTTCCATTCATATTATTTTTGAGGTGTCTTAAGTACATATTCTTTACATGAAATTACTGTCTAAAATAATTCATACTTTAAGCATTCTATTGATAGAATTATGATATCGTTGCAACAAGAATACTAATTTATTTCCTTTATTTTACATTTTCTTCATTAGATAAACCATGTACACAAGCAAATTAAGTGTTTAATTATCCTATTTTTTGAGAATATTAGTTCATATATTTGATGAAAACCTCAATTGGACAATATTAGAATCTAAATTCATGGTTATAATAATATCCTTCTGCACTTAGTTACTCTATATCAATTAATTTAAGATCTAATTTCTTGTTTTATTAATTAAATAATCTAATCAAGTCAATAGATATATTATTTTTACATAATAGTTCCAATTGCTTATGCAATAAGAACTGCAGCATCATTTCCTGAAGGTAACATTAATCCATAAAGTAAATCCTCTATTGATAAAATATCATTATATTTTAATTCAGCACTTGTACCAATTGTCTCTGATGCTTGCTTAGTTACCTTAATATTTATTTCTTTTAATTTTAGATTAAACAATTCTGCTGTTAATAAAGTTACATAAAAAGTCATTATTTTAGTTAAACTAGCTACTTCAACTTTCTTATTACTTTTTCTTTTAAGAATTGTTTTATGCTCAATACAATCATAAACAATAAAACTTTTAGCAGTTACATTTAACTTTCTTTTTCTAGGTGAACCACTATAAGAATATATGATATTCTTAGCAATATTATGCTATTATGAATTTCCTATTTAAGAACTAGAATCTTTACTACTTCCTGTCGTAGTAGAGTTACAAGTATAATTTTTATTTGACACAATACTACTTGATTTTAATTTCTGAGGTATTAATGATCTTTTAGTATCACTAGTTTATGGTGATTAAATAATATTATTAATACGATTTAGATCATTTAATTTACTATGGCTATTAATTAATGCTAAAGGAATTTGTGGTAAACTATTTTATGCATTATTTTATCTAGTTTTATTAGAAATTTCATTCTCAATTTTATTTATTTATCTGTCCTTATCATGAATTTATTACGACTATTATAATGAACATTAAGATTCATTTTTTGTTCTTAAACTATTCACAATTATTGGAGATTGAAATTCTGTAAACATCTAAGGAATTTTTCTATAACCCTTTAGTAACTTTATTGTTTTAACTTGTTCTATAAGCTATATTTTTCTTGAAGGTGGATGTAATAAATTTGGATTTATAAAATCAACTAAATTTACACTATTTAACTTAGATGAAGTTTTATTCCCTATCATTATTAAATTAATATATTATTAAATTAAAGAATAATTTATATGTTATTTCTCTATAAACTTACAACAAAACCATCTATTATCTTAAATAAATTATAATTAATTCTTTTTAAATAAAAAATATGGTCCTAATGTATTATTTTTAATATAATTTATTTATGTCATAAATTGATGTTTTAGAATATAAAATATATTAAAATGGAATTAAAATAGATTTTTAATAAAATAATAATGACATGCGACATCAGAGTATTTGAAATACTTATTTGATATATTCAAAATTACTGGTTAAAATTTTTAATTTCATTGCATATACTTATTATTATGGATGTATTATTTAGTTCAAATAATCTTTTGCTAATAGGTGTAAATGAAACTTATTTTCAAATCCTTTAGTAATTTTAGTTGATTATTATAATTCATTTGTTTTGAATTGATTATTAAATAAATTTTCCAGTTATGACAATTAAGAAAGATTTAGAAATTTGTATGCTATTATAATAAATTGTTATGTATTATGTGACTGATAAATAAATTAAATCAATGAAAAGTTGGAAATCCATAATTTTTCTTAAAGTTAACTCTTTTGGAAAATCAATAATAAGAGCATCCGATTATTTTGCTTAATAACCACAACTAAGGATATAAAAATAAAAAAAATTTTCTACGAAATTAGGAGCATTTATGACTTGTTGTATAATTACAATCTGCATAATTTAACTTATTTCATAATTATAAGGCATTTTTGATAGGCATAATCCTAATGTAATTACTTCTGAATTTTAATTATTCAATACTGATGTATATTTAATTTTTAAAAAGGAATATGTATTATATCCACATAATTATACTATGGCATTAGCATTAATGGATGGAAAACTACAAACAATTAGAGGGTAAAATTAATATTTTAATATCACAATAAAGAATTGTAAAAGATAAAGATTAGTAAATGAAACAACTGGATTAAAAGAAGCTATTTTAGAGTATTTTTTACATAATTAATATAGTTGCTATAATTATCAAATAGAAGAATGTAATGATTAACATTTTACTACAGAAGTTTAATTGAAATATTTTAAATCTTTTAATAAGTCAGGATTATATTGTGCTAAAAGTAGTGATTGGAATGAAAGGCCGATGAAACTTCAAGGTACTCCTTCATCAGATTTATTTTAATATATTGATATATTTATTTCAACATGCAAAAATAGTACTTAAAATCAAAATTGTTCAACAGATTAACAAATAAAGTAAAAATTATCTGGTAACTATTTGGTGATGCATACATCTGACATACTCACAAAAATGGAAGAGTCTAAGAACTCTTTTGAAAATATTATATAAGCTCAATACTATTTTTATTCACTGAGTATTACTAAAACTATTCTCTCTTAACTGAAACTTATAGAAGCTTTATCTGATATTGCATTGTTTACTAAAAATATTCAAAAATAATTTACATTTTAATAATCAACAATTAAAGAAACATCAGAAGTGTTCAATAATCAATATATTTTTAAATATGGAATAGTAATAGATTAAAGAATGACATAATACACAAGAACTTATTAAAAATTATAGAGCGCTTTTAGTAATATAGGTGGGTTATGGTAAATGTTATGTTTAATTGTTTAAATATTTTTATATCCCTTCACTTCATATTTGACTGAAATTGAAATGGCAAATGATTACTTCAGATTTGAATCAAATAACAATGGAAAACACAATACATCTTAAAAATAAAAAAGCTTTTTCATAGAATAGAATCAATGTTTAGAGGTTGTAGAAGAAGAAATACCTAATACTTCAGATAGAGTCTAAAAAGAAAAATAAAAGTAAATTATTTAATCAAATCGCCTTGAAAATAGCATAGATATTTAAAAATTCTTAAACTATCAATAAATACATTAAAAAATGTCATAAGATGCTATTTTATAATTAGCAATATGTTGTAATAGATAGAAAAAAAAATAAATAAATTATGCCATTGATAAAGTTATGTCAAAATTAGATGTTTCATTTATAATTTAAAAGTTATAAGAGATAGATAAATTAAAATATTTACTCTTATCTAGTGATTAACTTAATCTTTTTAATTATATTCCAAAGCCATTAATACCTTTTGGAGTGTTTGAATCTGAGTTTGAAAAAAATATAAAAAATTTAGAAAAAAAAATAGCTTATAAATTAATATTAGATGATGAAAAATCAGAAATAACTAAAATTAATGATGCATTTACAAGTTATTAAAACTTAAAAATAAAATAAAACATCACCAAAACTGATAAATAAATTTTAGAATTTTTAGATGATGAAATCAAATGCACTTTTGATTAACTTTTTGTACAAAACTTTAGAGGTTTAGATTCGAGAGAAATAAGGCCTATAATAGAAATTGATAGTATGTGTGAAAGTAGACTCCCTGTCAGAGATTCTATGAATGAAGGTTGAACAAAATAGAATACTTATATTTATCAATTTCTATATTATTGATTGTTAAAATAAAATAATTTATCAAGATAAGATTTATATCTATCTTATTAAATGTAAACATGTAATTAAGATGTTAATTAAATATTCAGCATAATCTAAGAATAATAGATATTAAAAAATATTTTTTTTTTCNATATCCCTTCACTTCATATTTGACTGAAATTGAAATGGCAAATGATTACTTCAGATTTGAATCAAATAACAATGGAAAACACAATACATCTTAAAAATAAAAAAGCTTTTTCATAGAATAGAATCAATGTTTAGAGGTTGTAGAAGAAGAAATACCTAATACTTCAGATAGAGTCTAAAAAGAAAAATAAAAGTAAATTATTTAATCAAATCGCCTTGAAAATAGCATAGATATTTAAAAATTCTTAAACTATCAATAAATACATTAAAAAATGTCATAAGATGCTATTTTATAATTAGCAATATGTTGTAATAGATAGAAAAAAAAATAAATAAATTATGCCATTGATAAAGTTATGTCAAAATTAGATGTTTCATTTATAATTTAAAAGTTATAAGAGATAGATAAATTAAAATATTTACTCTTATCTAGTGATTAACTTAATCTTTTTAATTATATTCCAAAGCCATTAATACCTTTTGGAGTGTTTGAATCTGAGTTTGAAAAAAATATAAAAAATTTAGAAAAAAAAATAGCTTATAAATTAATATTAGATGATGAAAAATCAGAAATAACTAAAATTAATGATGCATTTACAAGTTATTAAAACTTAAAAATAAAATAAAACATCACCAAAACTGATAAATAAATTTTAGAATTTTTAGATGATGAAATCAAATGCACTTTTGATTAACTTTTTGTACAAAACTTTAGAGGTTTAGATTCGAGAGAAATAAGGCCTATAATAGAAATTGATAGTATGTGTGAAAGTAGACTCCCTGTCAGAGATTCTATGAATGAAGGTTGAACAAAATAGAATACTTATATTTATCAATTTCTATATTATTGATTGTTAAAATAAAATAATTTATCAAGATAAGATTTATATCTATCTTATTAAATGTAAACATGTAATTAAGATGTTAATTAAATATTCAGCATAATCTAAGAATAATAGATATTAAAAAATATTTTTTTTTTCTTTACAATTAAATTAATGAATTATTTTTTAATTTTTACAATACTTTAATATTGTATTGATTGTTCAGAATAATAATTCACATATAGGTTTTCTGAGTAGTCAAAAAGAAAACTAGAAGAACTTTAACCAATTTCTACATCAAAGGAATGGTAGCCTTTAAGAATACATTTTGAATATTTATCTTAAAATTATGATTAAACATACACAGATTATTTTAAAGAAATACTTTAGATGGTGTAGATATTTTTTTATCGATTTCTATTAGTAAGAAGATTAAATTAAAAAATTACTTTTAAAGAAAATTACCCAAAAAAATTTTATGGGTTTCAGATTAATGAAGGTTTGAGTAATTAAGAATATGATGCTGATCTAGTAATTGTTAATTGTATTTTAGGTTATATTTGTAAATATTGAAAATTCTGCAAAATATTATAAAGCCTATTGTGGACCAGCTATTTATGATGAATAATCTTTAAGACCTATAATGGCTTTAATGTCTTGGAATATGAACTACACTAAAATAGATAAAACAAATAAGATAATTTATGAAAGTAACTTAGAAAGTGCTATTCATGAAATTATTCATGGTTTAGGTTTTACTTAAGATTATTTTTCAAAATATTATGATTCAGTAACTAGTAAACAATATGAATATCCAAATTATTATAAATAAAACAATATTACATACTTATCAACTCCAAGGTTAATTAATTTTGCAAGATTTTATTTTAATTGTTCTTAATTAAAAGGGATATAAATGGAAGATAATGGAGGTCCAGGTACTAGCGATTATCATTTTGAAAGATTATTGGTATATAATGAACTAATGACTGGTTCTTAATTAACTGGAAATCTTTTAATAACTGATTTTACATTTTAACTATTATAAGACACAGGGTAATATTTTTATTAATAGATAGATTTTATCGTTTATCTGATTATAGCCCAGATTAAAATTAATGGGGAAGATTTAAAGGATGTAATTTTGTAGAAAATTATTGTAATAATAGTAATTTTACTGAATTTTGTACTTAAGAAAATGTTGAAAGTTGTTCATTTGAGAAATCTGGATAATCAATATGTATGTATGAAATTTTAGGTGGAAATTGTATGTATTAATAAATTTATTCGGATTAATTTTGTAAAAACGATTAAAATTCAATTTAAAACAAATCTTCACAAATTATATCTTATTATGGATATGATAGTATTTGTTTAAGTGGATCAATTTCACCAATATAATCTTTTTAAAAATTTACTTGTTAGAAGTTTTAATGTGATATAAATAATAAACTTAAGATCATTATTGGTGATTTAGAATTTGATTGTTCTTAACCAGGACCAATAAAAATACCAAATACTTATTTTGGTAATTTAGAATGTCCTAACAATCCAGAGGATATTTGTTAATTCAGAAATGATTGTCCAAATTCATGTAATATGAAGGGATTTTGCATAAATAAATAGGTTAATCTATATTAATAATATTATAGTGTATTTGTTAAAATGGTTATTCAGGTATAGATTGTCAATAAATTTGTAATGATTATAGATATCAAGGATCTTGTTTGTAAGATTGTCCTAAATAAACATTTCCCTTAGATTCTATTAAATATTGTGTGGGCTGTCCTGGTGTAATTATTATTTTTATAAGCTAGAATTGTTTAGTTTGTTCAAATTATAATCAATGCATTTAATGTAAATATGGATATTTGTTAAGGGATGGGTTTTGTGACCATTTATAATTGAATTAAATTCATGGTAATTTTATAAAATAAATTCAGAGAATGATAATCTTTAATAACCGCCCTCTAATTAAAATTTTTAAGAAGATGTAAAAGTTTCATCAGGATCAAATTTATCTATAATATTTATATTTTAAATTATTCTATTATTATATTGAGAAATCATTAAGATTAATTATTTATTAATGTTTCTGTATTAAATTATTTATTCTTGTTATATTTTGAAAGATTTGATTAGAAAATTAGATAAAAATTAAATGAATTAATATAATCAATAAATATAAATAAATTATTCTAAAAAAATAAAAAAAATCAAATATTAATTTTGAGTTGATCACAATATTTTAAAATTTAAGAATAATTCTTTGACTCTTGACATTCTAAGTATTTTTCATAACTAAATTCATTATTTTCACAAACAAGTACTGGCAGTTAAGTAATTATGATTGAAGCTTTAAGAGAGAGTTATAGTTTAAGCCATTCAATAGGTTCTCTTTATAATCCCTTTTTATCAATAACAGCAAGAAGTAATTAATCCTTCATATATGAAAAGCATATAGGTTAAATATTAGTATCTAAATTATCATTAAGAAACCAGAGTACTTTTTCCCTTTTACTTTTATCAAGTTAATCAGCTTTAGTTTAAGAGGCTTTCATAAGAAGGATCATTTCATTTTTGACTAAACAATTATCAGATTTAATGCGACTTAGGAATTAAAGATATTCTCTGGTATTACATACTTCTTTCCATTACTCAATATTAAATGAATTAATTTGAGCTTCAAGAAATTTTTCTACTTCTAATCTAAGCTAAAGCATTCTTTTGAATACTAGAAATAGAGGAATAATCCAAAAGTTTTGTAATGCATCTAAGAATTCAATAGCTTTAGCAACAGTTTAACCAATAATGTTAATACATTCTAAAGATCTTAAATATTTAGATGTAAGAATATCAATTTCAACTTAAGGCCTTTTAATTAATTAGATATAATTATTAGGAATAGTGTTTTCGACTGAATTTTAGATAAGTTGATTAGAATCTTGAGAGAGATGTCTTAAACTTCGAGCTTTATATTCTTTAATAGCCATTCTGATAGAACTAACCCTTGATCTTATTTTATCATAATCAATATCTTATTATGAGAGTCTTCGATTGAGTTTTTTATCTTCAGAATCATCAATTCTTTAAGTAAGACCTAAATTTGATAGATTGGATCCAGTCCTAAGACTACGAAAATCGCAACTTAATTATACAGTATGATCTGATTGTTTAGTAGTAAACTTAAGTTTCATTTTATTATTAGTAAAGAAATTATTAATTTATTTATTACTTTTAAGCGAAGAATTACATCTTTATTTATATTCTTCAATAAATTTATTTTTATACATAGATGAAATTTTTGTGATTAGAGATTGATTAGAAGTAGATTGATTACTATTAGAAGTACTTTCATGTATTACTAAAGATGTTCTTTGAGTTTTTCTTCCAGATTATTTACTACTGAGTCGAGAGGCAGATCTAATTTTCAGATCTGACATAGATCTTACTTCATATAATTTAAGAATAGCTTTGCATTTAGGATCATCTCTGAAAGCTGAATGATGAGGTATTTGTTCCCAAGGTATAGGATTATCAGGATTCAGAAGTTGTTATATTAAGGAGATTATAGATTATTTTCTAGTAGTTACTAATGAAACAAGGTCAAGTTTACCACCATTGACCCATATTGAAATACGTTTATGAATCTCGTTTATTATGAATGAGCCATTAGTCATCACTAAATACATGATACCTAAAGACCATTAATATTACGATAAACATTATTTGCCTTTTAGAATCATTGGATTCCAATAGACACAATAATTCTCTGTTCTTTTTCTTAACCCAAAGTCTAACACAACAATAGATTCACCATTTCGCATAATATTTTCTAAAGTACAATCTCTTGGAGATTGACCTTTATATAAATCATAAGCAAAATATATTCTTAGTAAATGTTGCAAATTTCCTCCTGTCAGTTACCAATCTACACAATTATCAAATAACACATCTGTAAATGATGGTGTTCTTATCACTTGAACTATCATTGGAAGCAAGTTGTATACTGCTTTTAAGTACTTACCTTCAATCTTAGATTTCACTCTGTGATGCTATTCTAAAAATCTGAGTTCTTATTCTATATAAGCTGTGTCATTGAATCTTGCAATCAAGACTTATTCATTTGATAATCTAATATGACCGCGAAATGCTGACCATTATTATCCTTTCCAAATAGGAAATGTAATTACATAAGCACACATATATATATATACTAATTATTTGGGTGATTTTTTACTTATAATGGAATACCGGATGAATTTGGATCACAATAATAAACATGCAAAAAAACAAAAGAGGGAGACCAAAAAAATAATAACAAAAATAATAAAATGGAAGTGCAACCGACCGATCAGTCTCTATTAGAGATAGTAAATAGCAAGATCGTTAATGTACCACACCTTAGTATGACAAGATTATGGCCTAAATCAAAGAAACTTATGCTTCCTTAAACGATGCCAACCTCCAAAAGTAGTAATCTTTAGATCCACAAAAAAAGAATAACAAAAATGACAAAGCTAATAAAAAAATGAAAAGAACATTGAGATAAAACAAAAAATCATTCACCCAAGATGAGAATGTTAAAGTTGAATCTTAAGATTTTTAAGAACATTTAGATCAAATAAAATCTAAGTTCAACCAAATTTTTAAGAACTTTGTTGAGAATGTTAAAGGAGAGATCATTAAGACTGAGTAGGAACTACTCAAAATATCGCATCTTAAATGATGATTTTTATGGAAAGATAAACAATAATCAACATTATTATGCCAATATACATAAATATTCCTCTTCAATTCTCCTTCATTTGTTCTTATAATTCCTTCTCTATCTTATCCAGTTTTCTATTTTCCTTACAATCATTTCCACATAAGATTATTACAACAAATATTAAAAGTGATAACAAAATCACAGCTATTTATTCAATATCATTATATGTTACAAAAATTACCAAAATATTTATCAATTAAATTTTCATTGTAAAGTTCAAATTTTGGAATATCACTTATCTCCTTAGCATCAGAATAGTCTTCTTAATTAAACTTTATTAATAAATCAGGATTTCTTTAGCCTTAGAATTTATAAGTCTTATTATCCTTCACATATAATAAAGTAAAATATCCCTTTACTCCAAATCTTATTTTTACATCAGGATTAACAATACTAATTTTATTCTATTTTAATACCAATCAACAGCTATGAATTTATTATTTACTTCATCTACTAATTTATCCATTATTGATATCAAATTTTTAAAATGACTACACCATGGTGTATAAAGTATTATTATATTTCAAATTCTAACTTTTCTCCATTTAATTACAAAATTTTTGAGTCGCTTTTAAATTAATGTGTAACAAAGCAATAAAAAAAAATATGGGAAGAGCTTTATAAATTATTTTCAGAATATGAGGAATTACTGGAGTTCTACTTGGATTATGGGCTGGTTACATTACTAGAGATGAACAATATTTTCCATCTTAAAATAGAATGGAAGAAGTTTATTAAGAATATTTAAAAAGAAAGTAATAGTGAATTAAATAAAAATATATCAACATTTTTTTTATATGATCTCTAAAAGTATTTCTGGTTCTTATGCTAAATTTATAAAATCTTTTCTTTTTTTAATTGTTGAAATATTATCTACTAACTATTTCATGGTTTATACCCTTAATAATCTACAATTATATCTAAAAATTATATATTAATTTTTACTTTTTGGAAAATAATATAAGTTCAATGACATTGTTGCAATTTATTTTCTTTATTAATTATTCTTCACATAAATATTTTAACCTTTACATAAGATAATGATCAGATAAAACTATTAAACTTAAAAGTCTATTGGTGTTTAAATAAGTATCCAACTAATCTGTATAGATATATTGTAACATATCCATAAAAGTCTGATAACTACATTCAGTGATTTCTATGTAAATTTAATCTTTGTCTCTAAATTCTTCAAAAAATAGAGTTTAGAAGTGTTCACTTCTTGCTCCTAAAATACATCTATTAGCATAAATTTAGTGATCTTCTACAATGAATACAACATCACTCATCTAAGGATTATTTATTAAAGATCTTAGATCCTATAAAAAACTAGATCTAGGAACTTAAGCATTTTTAAATTCCAATTTATAAATATCACTTAACAATTCATCTCCATCATACCCACCAAAAACATAAAGAGAGTCATTGTATAATTAAAAAACCATAGAAGATCTACCTTTTGGAGGTTCATTAACTTCTAGTTTTTTCCATGTCTTACTGCCAAATTCAAATTCATATAAATCATTCAATCTTGAATGTCCATTAAATCCTCCAAACAATAATAATTTATTTTAATAAACTTCTGATGTATGAAACTAATTAATTAATATTTATATATTACATATCTTGGACATGGAATTGTACCATGCTAACTTATTCTCTTTACTTTTCCTGTAAAGATATTAATTTTATAAAAGTCATTCAATCTATTAACTCCATCAAACCCTCCAAATATATAAATTTAATTATTAAATGTACTAAAAGAAGGGCAAGAACGAGCAGAAGGTACATCTCCAATTAATTACAATTTATTCCACACTTATTCTTCAAAATCCCATACATAAGCATCATTTAGATAATGAGTACCATCACATCCTCCAAAAATGAGCATTTTAGTTTAATAAGCACCACAAGCTATTCCAAATCTCTCAGAAGGACATTAACCAGTAGGTTCAATTTTTTTCCATTGAAGTGTCTTAAGATTTAATGAATAAAAATCATTTAACCATAATAATCCATCACATCCTCCAAATACATACATACAACCTTTATATTCTATTGCTCCATTATTTTCTCTAGCACTTGGTTTTTATCCTTTTGTATTTAAATGCTACCATTAATTATTACTAAATGAATATCTATGAACATCATCTAATCTCCCATTAAACGTAAAACCACCAAAAATATATAAATAATCCTCATATATCACCCATGAACAATTGTTCCTTTAATTTGGCATTACTTAATCAAATCTATCTAATCTCTTCCATATTTATTGATCATAATATCCACAATCATCCATTTCAACTTTATTGTGTTTTACATACATAGATACTGAATGAAATCGTTCATCAATCTCAAATTCTCTATCAACTCGATGTGATTAATTGATTTACTATCTCATTAATGCTCTTTTTATTCTTAAATTATCTTGCTCTGATTACAATCTTCTAATCATTTTAAAAAATAAATATAAATATTATAAACATTTTAAAGAATTTTATAGCAATTATCTTCATTACCCTTGAAAAAACTAAGGTATTTTATTATTAAAATAAATGGTTGTTGTTTAATTTGAGATTAGATTTCTAAAAAGTAATTGTATAATTTAATTTAATCATAATATATTTTTTTAATAATTTCTTTGCCATTTAATTTATATCAATAAGAGAGATCAATAAACTTTATTCATCTTTTGCTGATTTATTTAAGTTTCAACAAAATAGTTTGTAAGCTTTCGAAATTCCGATTTTTGATTATGATTATAATTTGATATAACTAATCTCAAAATTAAACAAACCCATAGTGTATTTTTTCATTCATAAAATAATTAAATGCATTTGAACAACAATATAAAACTATAATTATTTCTAAACACATACATAATTATTTACAATGACACATTTTTATGAAAATTCTGTATTCCAAAAAATCAATTATAACTTGCATTTATATAAAATATTATTTATTTTGTCATAAGTTCTTTGTATCTCACCACTATCTCTATCTTCTAAAACAAATTGATCTTTTTCTTTCTACTAAAATAAAGTAATGTTTTAAGTGGATCTTTTGAAAGAGAACAAAAATTTACTTCATTTTAGAATATCAATCCTAATTAATTATGTGTAATAGTTTTATACATTCTTTTTAAAATAATGAATAAATTAAATATTTAAAAAAAAATTGAAAATTAAAGAGAGAAATGAAAGATTAAGAGAAGTTAATGAATTATCACACTTTATGATAAATATATTTTTTAAGGAGTAAATTATAATAAAATTAAATATGGGATCTAGAAAATCTACAATAGCAGATTTTTCGTTATTTATTTATTTTAATATTAGAAGATTTATTTATGAAATTTCAAATTTATTTGTATGGATTTTGATTCCATATCCAAATTTAAAATAATATTTTAGAGATAAGTAAAGGTTTTACTCCAGTAGATATTTCAAGATAGCAAGATTGGTGTTAAAATTAATGAATCCATAAATAGAATCGATAGGAAAGGAAAGAAAAAACGAGAAAGTTCGTGTTATTAATTCATAATTAAATCATAATCTAAAATTTGCAATCATACCATTAATAAATTCTCCAATTTTATCTACTATTTATAATGTATTTATTTCTTATTCTTGGATATAATATCTAGATCTTTCCATTTTTACATTAATAATTTCTTATTATTCAAGTTCAGTTTCAACCTCTTTAATTTATTTAATTAATTTAGTTTCATCTTTAGGTTTCTTTTCAATTTATTATTATAATTCATTGATTTTTTCTAATCCCTAAACATTTGATAAATAATGAATTTCATTAACCATATAGACCATTAGAATAGTGAGCCATTAACACTCATTCAAATGATCTGGTTTTAGACCAAAATAATGTTATTGATTGATTTTCATAATTTTTAAAACTTAATCCTCATATTAAAATAATCCATCAGCATATTATCTAGTCATTAAATCATTGATCATTAATTTAATAGATGGTTTAGTTTTAGGAATAATAAATTTAGTATATAAACCCATAAAAACTCCTCCAACAGTTCCTCCAATAAGAGCACCTAAGACTGGAATAGGTATCAATATTTAACCAGCTATAACAGTTCCAATTCCAAAAGAACTTTAAAATCCTAGATGCGCAATATTTTTAATCTTTTCACCTTTATCTACAACTTTATTATTAGCTTAAATTCTAATTGCATAGAATAATAGAGCTTATGATAAAATTACTCCAACTACAGGTATTCTCATAGCTGCTCCTACTAAACCTGTTGCTATAGAACTTATACCAGCTCTTTTTAATTTCTCATCCCATGGAATCTTAGGATCTACACTATCAACAATTAAACAACCCAAACCTGCACCAACTGAACCTTTTATAACTGGTTAATTCCCTAATTAAGATTATTTTTTTCTCTTCTCATCTAACCATATCTTATATTTTATGCATTCCTCATCTTAAGCAAATAATTTAGTATCTAAATCTGCTGTTAAAAAATATTGATCATCTAATATGTAATACATCTATATAGCATCCTAAAAAGATTTTGTTAATGTAGATAATTCATATAATCCTAAACTTAATGGACTGTATTCATAAAAATATCTTATGATTTGTTTCACTAAATCTTTATCGAATATCTCAAATTCTACCCTATGGAATTTCATTTCATTTAAAGATTAATGACATTAATCTATAATATATTAAGAAGTTTCAATTTGTAATATTTAATATGTTCTTATGTTAGCTAATGTATGATATTTTGTTAAAGTTTCATTTAAATATTCCATTTGAGTATTACAGAATAAAGATGTTCGATTAATATATAAATGAACATTTTAGATTATGGTGTTAAAATATTTCTTTAATTCTAAATAAAATATTTCATTATTGATAACTCTAGCAAAATCACTCATTTCCATTGATAATACAACCATACAATGTTCTAATTTATCAGTCATATATTAATGGAATTCTTCACAAATAAACTACTTAGTTGTTAAATCAATCAATATCTGTTCTATCAACATATAAGTGTGATTAATCAATTTTATACTTATACCGTTAAAATATTCCAAATACTCAGGCCATCTAGGATTTTTATATTAAGGCCAATTTATACATTCTATCTCTATTTATTTTAGAACACCTTATTTTATCTCATCTCTTCGACCTTCCTTTTATTTATCGAATTCTATCTTTATGAATTTGCAAATGCATAAGATCACATCTGCATTTTCTTCATTCAAATTATTTATAATAAGTTCTTACTTTTTACAAATCGATTAATAGAGATGTTCTTAATCTAACATGTTCTCTGCAGCTAAAAGTGATTTCAATATATTTTTTGGAGATAAAATGATTGGCACAACTTTACTCAGAAGTAGTTGCTATTATAAAGTTTCTAAGTATTTATCCTCAAACATAAATATAATTATTAAATTCAAGGTAGAAACATCTTTATTAAATATTCTTTTAACTAAATAAAGCGTATTGTGAATAATATTCTAGTATACATAAATTCTTAATCTAAATATTATTCAATTAAGTTTTATATTTTAAGCATATTTTTTTATAGATTTTTTCACTATGGAATCATTATACTTTAAAATTTTACATTTGAACATGTGAATACCATAATATAATACAATAATTCTATAAATTAAAATGATTATTTAATTAAAAAATTAATTCCATAAATTTACTTGAAGTTTGGGATTTATAAATACTGATTATTAAAAAAGATAACTATCTATTTAATCTTAAGACTTAAAAATTAAATACTTAATTTCTTCTTTTCTTTTTTATTATGATAATTTACTTTCCGAGATTATTAAATAATTTTCAAATAAAAATTAGATGAATCAAGAAATTTTTAAAAGTGATGATTTGAAAGTATAATCATTAATAGGAGGTTCTAAAGGAATGAGATTAATAAATTCAGAAGCTAAATAGATGATTACCTAAGTATATATTAATTTAATTCTAAGCAACCAGTGGTTGAATTTTAACAACAAAGAACATAAATTTAGATTTAAAATGAAGCTCCATTAAAATAGACATAATAACTTCTACCTTAAAGAATATAAAGTCAAAATGTCTTAAGATAGAATATTTAAATACCTTAGGTGTCATATCCAGGGACATATAGTGTACAACAGAATTGTTAATAAGCACCACCTTTATGCATGAATATTGTTGTTGTATCAAAAGAAGAGATAGAAACTCCTTGGAGATTAGAATGTGAATATCTATAATCAATAATTGCTGATTTGGAGAGAAGAAAGGAAGCAAAAGTGATTGAAAAAGTAGTAGTAGAAAAGGTTACTGATAATACTCGTGTTGAATAATTAGAACAATAATTACGTAATTTAAGATAAGAAAATGAATAAGTGAAAAGTTAGATGATGCAAATGAGAATTAATTATGAATAATAATTGGAGAGTATGCGTGGCGATATAACATTACATAGTGCTAATGCAGCAGATTCAGCATCTATGTAAGCAGAATTCTTTGCTATGAGAACATAATTAGAAGACTAAATTGCAGAATTAAGAAGATAATTAGCTGATCTAGAACTTCATTATAGTTAATGCTAAAGTGATAATGATAGATTAAAACAATTAATTTAAAATAAAGATGCTGAAATTTAACAACTTAGATTATAAATATCTAAATTATAAACAAGTGCTTAGGATACAAGTTAATTACGAGATTTAGAAAGTTAATTAAGTTTAGCAAGAGATGAAATATCTAGATTAGAAAGATAATTATAATAGGCTAATTAAGATATTTTTAATTGGAAGAATAAATATACAACTATAGAATAAGAATCATATACTAAAAATAATGAACTTATAATGTAATTGAGAGACTTAGAAGTAATAGTTTCAAATTATATTTATTTAGAATAAATTATCCATGATGACATCTGAGTTTAATAGATTATAAGTATAAATATAAAGCAAAGATTCAGAACTTGAAGATTGGAAATATCGATATACTTAATTAGAATCTTAAGGAACTACAGTGATTTAAGAGAAAGTCACATATTTATCATAGGAAGTAGAAGTTTGGAAATAAAAGTTTATTAAAGCCAATCATGAATACAATAAATGTTAAGAAGAGTTAACTATGTGTTAAGCTGAATTGGAATCACTTAAAAAGAGTTCTTAAAAGAAAGTAAAATAGTTAATATATTTTTTAGGAAGTAGTAGTGACATCAAGAACAGTTACTTCAAGAACAGGTAACACTTTATCTGTTACAGGTACAACTGGATCATAATCATAAATAAGAAGAACCACTTAGCAAGAGTGATATTTTCATTTATTTAAGAATATTAATATATGATTTAATCTGATATTTATGATATTGAAGCTTATATGCAAATTGGATAAGGTTATCACATCTTATTTATTATTTATTCTAGATGGATATGAATTCTTGAAAAAAATTGCTCCCTTGACTCCAGAAAATCATTGGTAACTATTTTCAGAAGATGATGGATTTAAAATTCATATACGTCCTGATCCAGATACTGGACTATGTTTAACAAGAGGAGAAGGCTTATTACCATATACCATTGATGAAATATTTGCCATTATTGAAGATATACCATTGAGACCTAAATATGATGGAATCTGTGAATCTGTATAATCATTACATCAAACTAGGGTTAAATCATTAAGCGATTCTCTGATGAACTCATGCTATTCTATTAAAAATTTAAATCCATGTTTTTTGTTATCAGCTCTAGAGATTTTATTGTGATTTCAAGAAAAATCGTTGATGGAAATTTTACTTATGCCATAGGAAAATCATTAGAACATCCTAATCATCCTCCAATTAAAGGTGTTGTAAGAGGTGATCTCAAAATTGGAGGATGGATCCTTGAAAAAAGAGAAACAGTATCTATTCTATATAATTAGGGTACATTTTGTATATTTGTTACTTGGGCTGATCCTAAAGGAATGCTACCTAAAAAAGCAGTCAATATTGTTGCTGGGGCTCAAGGAAAAGTAGTATAACAAATTAAATTACTTTTAGATGAAAAAAAGAAGAATGTAAATAAATGAATTTATATTTATCCCATTTACAATATATATTCTAACTCTATTACTATTCTCAACTATAAAACCTACTTTAACTAAATATATTTATATATTTTTTTAATTATTCAATATAATTCTACTTAAAAATAAGTTATTTCTAAGTCATTAATAATCTATAATAAGAATTCCTCATAAAATACTATCAAACAATAAATTTAATATTTTTCCAAAAGTATTCAGGTAATAACTGGTATTCAATATTAATTTCATATAAGTTATTTATTTACAATTGATTTACTTAGATTGACTTAGACTTATTAATTTTTATATAGATTTTATGTCATTTAATTAAGTTTTTTATTATCTTAATTATAAGCTAAAGATAATTATATTTAGAGTAGGTAAAGCTTAATAGTTTTTTTAGTAATATTTAGATTTATATAATTCTATCTTTAAAAATCTAATTTTAATGTTTTACTTAAATTTCCAAATTAAATAAAAACAATTTTATTCATATAAGTTTAGATGAATCTATTAAATAAAAAAAGATATGTTTGGTTTCATTAATTTTATATTTATACAATAATATAAAAAATTGATTAGAAGAACAATAATTTTAAGTACACGTATTAATAATTAAAATGAAAATTCTTTTCGTTTTTGTGACTTTATTATTCCTTATAGAAGCTGCTAAAAAAAGAAAGAAGACTGATGACAGAAGACCAACAACTGTTGAGGCTTTACTTTATTGCAATAGTTGTTAAGCAATCGTTCGAGAAACATTAAAGAAGGTTAAAACATCAACAAAAGAATCAGATATTACCGATGCTCTATCTGAAATGTGTTAAATGAAAAATTTCAGTGTTTATGAATATCCTCCCCCTGATATGAAAAAAGGATGTGAAGCATTTATGTCTGGATGGTCAGAAGAAGTGACAGAAGCCTTAATGAACAGAAAAGGTAATGATTCTATTGAAGATGAAATTTGCTATAAATTAACTAATGTATTTTATTTGATTAAAACTTAATTAGTCATGTAAAGACATTGAAAAAGGTTAGAGAAAATAAAATGATGATTATGTCACAATTAATGGAAAGAAAGTTAAAATGGGAGATGATGGCAAAGTCGACATAAATATGAACAAACCAGCTCCAGATGATGATGATTTATGATATAAATGATTGTTTCTTAATAATTTTAATTATTATCAATTTATAGCTGTTATTTTAATGCTAATTTATAATAAAATTCACAAAAAATATTAAATAATAGTCAATATTGTACTTATAACCATTATTAAAGTGTCCAGAAGGGTTAAATTTTATTTATTTTAAGCCATTATAATTAATAACTCAAATATACCATTAAAAATATATTGAGCATTTCATTCAATTTCTAAAATGAGAAGTCATTTAGGAATATATTATTTGGTATTTAATCTATTCCCTCAAATAATTACTTTTATGTAGCTATTAAATATATTCTTAATATGATTTTCTTGTAAATATCGAATTTTTCAATAAAGTTCTTTTTGATCCATTTTTTATCTGTAAATTCAAAATAAACATATCTTCAGTTCCTCCATTTATGCTTTCAATAAGATACTTTCCTTTGAGGTATATATTTTACAATCTTATTCCATTTTCCTATTTATTGAAGTTATTAATAATTAGGAACTTATGTATGGTTCTTAATTCTAGAAGTGAAGAAATCTATCAACTTCTTTTATTCTAAAACTAAATCTTAATTTTCTGTATCTATAAATTATAAGTTCTTTGATATTAAATAAATTATATCAACTCAGTAATATTTTATAATTTAATCATTTATGCCATTATTATTGCATTAGAAAATTAAAATTATATTATGAAGATAATAGCAGAATTCAACTTCAAAAGTTTAAGATGGTTCCATATCAAATAACAGAGAATATGAGACTTCTTATTGGAAGATTATTTTAACTTAGAAGATTGAATCAGAAAGTATTTTTTTAATTTTTAGATAATTTAACAAAATTAATTCATATAAAGAAATTTTTTGTATTTTTAGAGCAAAAATTTAGTTCATTAAAATTTCTTTATAATTTAGTTTCTTAAGATAATAAAATTCTCACTTTTTAATTTGATATATAGAGCATTAAAAGTTTTTGATGTATAAGAAATTATTAAAGATTCTGAGAAGTACTTTCCAGATTTTAAAGAATAATTATGAAAAATGATATTATTTATTTTTCAATAATTAAATCCAAAAAACTTTCATATGTTATTTTTCTATAAAGATGATATTATTTTCTTTAATTAATTAGAGAGAATACTGTGATTATAAAATTTATCATTTGTAACTATATTATTTATTGAAATCAAGATCCAAATTAGTTAATTCACTTAATTATTTGAATAATACTTAACAAGAATCTCTAAATAATAAGCAAATTGAATCTTACATCATTTAAGCATCTTTGGCTAATAAATTTGGATAAACAATGCTCAAATTTTTTGGTGTCTATTCAGATTCTAAAATTGGAATAAAAATTTACTTGGAGGAGTATTAGAATATGGAGTTTAGAAATTTAACTATCTAGATACTGGATCTCTCTTAATAAATTTCTCAGGCGTTTTATAATACATAATCCTTCTTTATACTTGTCTTCTAGGAACTCCTTTAACTAAAGTTTCATCTTATCTTGGAAGTACTTAAAGATCTTCCCATCTATTTTACATTTTTAATCTTCTTTTTAATGTACTATTCCAATGATTTTTAATAGAATTATCAGTTCTTCCTTTTAATAATCCAGCAATTAATGACCATCTATTTCCTAATTTTTTATGTGCCTCAATTATTGTTTGATCTTCTTCATCAGTCCATCTTTCTTTATTAATTTTAGGATCTAAATGATTATGAAATCTAAGAATAATATTATTCAATACCTTTCTCTACATTATTTTCCAATTCTACCTGGTAAATGCTTAGCAATTTAACTCCAATTTTTAGGACCATAATTTGTTACTAATTTTATTAATAATTCATCTTCATCTTAAGTCCAAGGACCTTTAACTAAATCAGGATTTAACACTTTTTGCCATCTATGTAAACATTATACATCTGTTCTTTCTTCAAAATAAGATGCTATTTTTTTCCAATTTTTTGCTCCATGCTGTGTTACTAATTCTTTTAGTTGTTAATCTTCTTCTTCTGTCCACCATCTAATATAAATAGTTTATAAAATACCTTTTTTTAATAGTCAATGGAGGATCTATGTTATTACTATTAAGCAATGTTTCCACTTTTGTTTTTATTTCATTGATTTTGTTTCTATTTTTCTTAGGTATTAGATTTTCTAGTTGACTATAATCAAATATAGGTTAGATTATAGATGGATCTTTGTCTTCCTTTAGTAGATGGAGGATATTTGATTTCGTTGTTAATAATTTCTTTTCTTATGGTGATGGTGAAGTATTTGCAAGTATGAATTCCATATCAATAGGATTTTATTAGAGTAGATCCTTCAGAAAGGTTATACACATGTTCTTTTCCATTTAAGGCAGAGTAAAACCATTAAGTTCAAATTGAGTTATTAATTGGTGGGCACTTCTCATTAAACAAATAAAAAAATTAATTAAAAAGATTAGATAATAGTGTTTTTTAACGAATTTGATTAAAATTTATTATTAAATATTCTTCATATAATAAGTCTATGAAGACTTATTTTTAAGTTTATTGAACTGCCCTTAAATTCTATTTTTTTACCTTTATTTAAAATTAGTAAGATTATTTCTTCAAAAACAACCTATCTTATTGGTAAAAGTTGTATCTAGATGAAACAATATAGGCTTTTACTATTAGATTCTCTCTTTTATTAAAATATTTGATTGATTTTTGAATTAGGATTTCACCATACCATATTATTAAGAAAAATAGGATGTTTAAATATCAAAAATTATATTTTAACAAAATAATTTAGTAAAGGATTAAATTGGTTAAACTACAACTTTTTTAAATATTGAAATTAAGATGAGTTGAACTTAATAAAAGTAAAATTTAAAAGATAAATATAATAAATAACTTAATTTTAAATATATAAGAGTTATTCAATATGTAAATAATAAAATGAAGTTAAATTTAGTCTAGAAATATGTCTTTAATATTTATAATTTGGAATAATATTCTAATTATGCAGAAAATTTAGATAAGAAATGCATANTGCTTAGCAATTTAACTCCAATTTTTAGGACCATAATTTGTTACTAATTTTATTAATAATTCATCTTCATCTTAAGTCCAAGGACCTTTAACTAAATCAGGATTTAACACTTTTTGCCATCTATGTAAACATTATACATCTGTTCTTTCTTCAAAATAAGATGCTATTTTTTTCCAATTTTTTGCTCCATGCTGTGTTACTAATTCTTTTAGTTGTTAATCTTCTTCTTCTGTCCACCATCTAATATAAATAGTTTATAAAATACCTTTTTTTAATAGTCAATGGAGGATCTATGTTATTACTATTAAGCAATGTTTCCACTTTTGTTTTTATTTCATTGATTTTGTTTCTATTTTTCTTAGGTATTAGATTTTCTAGTTGACTATAATCAAATATAGGTTAGATTATAGATGGATCTTTGTCTTCCTTTAGTAGATGGAGGATATTTGATTTCGTTGTTAATAATTTCTTTTCTTATGGTGATGGTGAAGTATTTGCAAGTATGAATTCCATATCAATAGGATTTTATTAGAGTAGATCCTTCAGAAAGGTTATACACATGTTCTTTTCCATTTAAGGCAGAGTAAAACCATTAAGTTCAAATTGAGTTATTAATTGGTGGGCACTTCTCATTAAACAAATAAAAAAATTAATTAAAAAGATTAGATAATAGTGTTTTTTAACGAATTTGATTAAAATTTATTATTAAATATTCTTCATATAATAAGTCTATGAAGACTTATTTTTAAGTTTATTGAACTGCCCTTAAATTCTATTTTTTTACCTTTATTTAAAATTAGTAAGATTATTTCTTCAAAAACAACCTATCTTATTGGTAAAAGTTGTATCTAGATGAAACAATATAGGCTTTTACTATTAGATTCTCTCTTTTATTAAAATATTTGATTGATTTTTGAATTAGGATTTCACCATACCATATTATTAAGAAAAATAGGATGTTTAAATATCAAAAATTATATTTTAACAAAATAATTTAGTAAAGGATTAAATTGGTTAAACTACAACTTTTTTAAATATTGAAATTAAGATGAGTTGAACTTAATAAAAGTAAAATTTAAAAGATAAATATAATAAATAACTTAATTTTAAATATATAAGAGTTATTCAATATGTAAATAATAAAATGAAGTTAAATTTAGTCTAGAAATATGTCTTTAATATTTATAATTTGGAATAATATTCTAATTATGCAGAAAATTTAGATAAGAAATGCATATTAATAAAAGGATTATCTTCATGATTTTTAATTAAAAAAATAATTAAACTGATATTATAAAGAAAGCTATTTAAGTTTGAATTTAAAAGATAGGAAAGAATGAAAAAAAAAAAGTGGATTAGCATGTAGTTTAAAAGAAATAAAAAAAATTAAATTAAATTAATTTTATATGTTTTAGAGGTAGAAGGATTTTGGAAATTAGCCAACAAATTATGTACCAGGTAGAGGAAGAGGTGCAGTTGGATTTATTACAAGAAGTGATATTGGACCAGCAAAAGTAGATATAGGAATAGAGTAAGATGATGATCAAAATGATTATAATGATGCAAAATATGATGAATGGAATGGATATTCAATTCCTTTATTTAATATAGGAGATTATGATGATGAAGATAGAGAGGCAGATCTTACATATAATAGTGTAGATAGAAAAATGGAAGAAAGAAGATTAAAAAGATTACCAAATAATTTACCTGAGAAACCATCTATAGTTAATTAATTTAGTGATTTAAAAAGAGAATTAGCCAAAGTTGGAATAGATGAATGGTTATCTATTCCTGATATTGGAGATTATTCAATAAAAAAAAAGAAGCAAGATAAAATAACACCTGTTCCTGATTCGGTTATAATGTCAGCTTAACTTTAAGAAAAGAATTTATAAACAAAAGCACATGATTTAAATGAAATAGGTGAAGCAAGAGGAGCATTATTATCTTTAAAACTTGATAAGATTAGTGATAATGTATCTGGATAAAGTGTTGTAGATAAAAGAGGATATTTAACAAGTTTAGCTTCATTACCTCATTTAAGTGAAAATGAAATTGGAGATTTTAAGAAAGCTAGATTATTATTAAAAAGTGTAATTTAAACAGATCCTAAAAATTCTTTTGGATGGATAGCAGCAGCTAGAATAGAAGAACTTGATGGAAAACTTCCAGCAGCTAGATCTATATTAGCATAAGGATTATAATAGGCAGAAGATTAAGAAGATATTTGGATTGAATTATCAAGATTAGAAACACCTGAAAAGGCTAAATTGATATTAAATAAAGCAATCTAAACATTACCACATAGTGTAAAAATATGGTTAAATGCTGTTAATAAAGAATAAGAAACATAAGCTAAAATTAAATTATTAAAAAGAGCTTTAGAATTTATTCCTAATAGTGTTGATATATGGAAAGAATTAGTTAGTTTGTCAAGTGAATAAGAAGCATTAATTCTATTATATAAAGCAGTTGAATGCATTCCTAAAAATTTATCACTTTGGTTAGCATTAGCAAAATTAGAAACTTATGAAAATGCAAAAGCCATTTTAAATAGAGCAAGATAAAATCTTCCTTAAGAACCAACTATTTGGATTAATGCAGCAAAATTAGAAGAAAGTGCTGGAAAAGATAAATAAACAATTGCTATTGTACTTTCTAAAGGTATTAAGATATTAAAAAAAAACTAAGTAAAGATTGTAAAAGAAGATTGGCTTTAGGAAGCTGAAATTGCAGAAAAATGTTCTAACATTAATACTTGTTATGCTATTGTTAAAGCCATAACTCTAGAAGAAGAAAAACAATCTGATAATTCTTGGAAATAAGATTTTTCACAATTTGAATAAAGAGGATCGTTACATACTGCTAGAGCTATTATTGCAGTTGAAGCTGAAAGATAAAATAATTATGAAATATGGAAAGAATATATTGAATTTGAGAGAAGACACAAAGAAGAAGATTCATAATATTTTGATTAAGCATTAGATTCAGCTGTGACTAACCTTCCTTAAATTGAATAATTTTGGATTGAATTAATTTTAAGAAAATAAGAATTACAATCAAATTATCTAGAAGTTTTTGAAAAATCTCCAAAAACAGAAAATATTTTATTAACTCTAAGTAAATTAGAAAAGTAATAAGGTAATTATGAAAAAGCTAGTTAATATCTTTAATATATTTAAGACAATTTAGTACCTAGTGATAAAACATGGATAAAAATGTTTAAATTAATTCTCTTAATGAATAAATAAATTGAATTTGCTGAAAAAATATTATAAAAATATCCATAATCAGATAAATTATGGATTTTATGTGGATAAGCAAAAATTAATTAAAAAGACTATTAAGGAGCAAGATAGATTTTTGAAGAAGCCATTAAAACTTTAAATAATTCATTAAATGTATGGTTAACTTATATCAAAATGGAATGTTAATAATAACTCTATACTAGAGCACGACCTTTAATTGATAGAGCAAGAGAAAAGAATCCTAAAAGTCCTTAACTTTGGGCATAAGCTATAAGATTAGAAATTGATGCTAAGAATCATAAAGCAGCATAATTTTTATTAAGCAAAGCCTTATAATGTTGTTAATTAGATGGAGAATTATGGTCATTGGCTATTGAATTAGAACCAAAAACTACAAGAAAGAAGAAATCTGCTGATGCTGTTACATTATGTGTTGATAATCCATATGTTTATCTTTCTACTGCTAAGGTATTTTTAAATGAGGGAAAAATTGAAAAAGCTAAAAGGTGGTTAGAAAAAGCATTAATTTTAGAACCAAGATTAGGAGATGCTTGGGCTTATTTATATTTGATTGAAAAAGAAATCTTACAATAATGTATTTCAAGAAGACCTAAACATGGTAGACTTTGGTAATAAGCAAAGGAAACATTAAATTAAAAATATGATATCGAGAAAATATTGATAGAGGCAAGTAAATTAGCATAAAAAGATATTGCAAAATTAGAGTGAATTAAATTATATATATTTATAATTAATTCCATGTAAATTATATCAAGCAATAAAAAAATATATCAAGACATTTAAAAGGCTTATTCTTTTAAAATTATTTCCTATTATTTAAAACTTAAATTTTGGTTTATTCCCAATTAGATGGAGCTCCTTCAGAATTGCTTTGTTTTACATAACTAAAATGGTATGTTTAAAAAGCAATATGGAAAAAAATTTTCACTTAAAAACACCCAATTTAAAGAGATAACTAGAAAAATTTTGTTTTTTTTCTTTAAAATTTCATTAAGTTGCTGAATAAATTATTGCGTATTATCAAAATTATTAACATTATTTTATTAATAAATCTCTTAAGTAAACATGCAGTTTTTCTTCCTTAATATCAGATTCACATAAGTATTAATTAGAAACATGTTCTTATTTGCAAAAGCATCCTTAAGAATTAAGGGTTTAAATTTCTAAAAACCTTTTCTTAAATTCACAATTTCTAAGGGTTTTTTTTAATATATCTTTAAATTAGTGTTAAACAGGTATAGTCAACTAAATTTGATTAATTTCTTACAATTTAAATTTTTTAAGGATTTGAAAGATTTTAAAAATAATTATTATAGCTATTTGAAGAAATTAAAACAATATGGTTATGCGCTAATTGATAATTAAGTCTAAACTTGAAAATAAAAATAATAAAATGTTTTGAGTTTTAAAATATTTTATGAAAAAAAAAAAAATAACAAATTACTAGTCAGCAAAATAGCTGGGAAGATGAAAATATTTAAGTTTTGATTTTTATTATAAATGAAATCAATAATAATGAGTTTCTTTTTGATACATTATTAAGATTAAAAGAAAATGGGGAATTAAATTTTTATAAGAATAATCTTACTGAGAAAAATCTGAGAGAATAAGGGAATAATATAAAAGTATAAACAATTATTTAAATTATGAGGTAAGTTGTTATATTACAAGTATTTAAGAAGATGAACTAATTGATATTAATTTAGAAGCTGATTAAATTTTATAGAATATTCAATATAACTTAATAAATTTCTATATCATTCTAATTTAACAACCATAGCTCCAGGTTCAATAAATTATCCTTCCTTATATCTTATTTCTTTAACTTCACCATCTATAGCAGCTTTGATTGTGTGTTCCATCTTCATAGCTTCCATGATAATTAAAATATCACCTATAATAAATTTAATTAATCTACCTCTTTTGACTTTTTGTCCAACTTTTACATTAACTTTGGTCATAGTGCATGCTATAGGAGCAAAAATTTCTTTATTATTACCGTGGCCATGTTAATCTTATTTAATTTTCTTAACTTCATCAGATGATACAATAATTGTAATAGGATCTCCTTCAGCATCAAAAATTAATAAATTTTATTCATTTCTTATAGTTCTAATAAAGATTCCTTGATTTGTTTCAAAAATAAATAAATTTTTATGTTCTCTATTTTTAGTAACCTTTTGTACTATAATATTTTAGCCTTCAATTTCTAATTCATGTTTTTCTCCATTAATATTATGAGCAATCTTAATCTCCTTTTAATGAGCATATGAAGAACTTTAAATATTTAAATTTAATTTATTATTAATTTGAGCGCCATTTCTAAAATTTAATAGTGATTTTGGTAACTGAACTGAATTTAAAAAGTGTCTACCAACAATAGCTAGAGCAATATCAATAGGATTATAATTATCTTTTAATTTTAATAAACTATTTTAGTTTTTAGCAATGAAAGAGGTATCATATTATTAATTAACATATTCTGGATGTTAAAGAACAGTTTTTAAAAATGAAATATTATTAGGTAATCCATGAATCTAAAATATTAATATAAAAACAATACTTAATAATTTTATAAGGCATTTAAAAGAGTTTAGATAGCGAGTTATCTATTTTCTCCATAGACAACTAATTTAGCAATCATAGGATCATAGAATATAGAAATGGTATCTCCTTCTCTAACACCAGTTTCAATTCTTACAGATTAAGAGGCTTGTGGTTCAGAATAATGATTAAGTTTGCCACTACCAGGCAAGAAGTTATTATTTGGGCTTTCTGAATAGATTCGAGCTTCAATAGAATGACCTTTTCTTTTAATTTATTCTTAAGTTAATGGTAAAGGTTCTCCAGTGGCTACTCTAAGTTACCATTCAACTAAATCAACCCCTGTAATCATTTCTGTAATTGGATGTTCTACTTATAATCTTGTATTCATTTCCATAAAATAGAATTTACTTGAATCCAAATCAAATATGAATTCTACAGTTCCTGCATTTGAATATTTAACTGCTTTGGCAGCTGCTTTGGCTTTCTAATAAATGAATTAAATTATACTTCACCAATATCATTTCTAATCTTCTCTTCTAAAGCTGATGGTGCTTCTTCAATAACTTTTTAATGTCTTCTTTATATAGAACAATCTCTCTCAAATAAGTGAACATAATTATTATGTTTATCACCAAAGATTTGAACTTCTATATGTCTTGGCTTTTCAATGTATTTTTCAACTAACACTCTTTCATCTTTGAAACTCTTTAATGCTTCTCTTTTTGCTCCTTCTAAAGCTTCTAAGAATTCAGATCTTTATCTGACAATTCTCATCCCTTTTCCTCCTCCACCCATAACTGCTTTTATTAATACTGGAAACCCAATTTTCTCAGCTTCTTAAAGAAGACTTATCTAATTAAAATCATAATTACAAATTAGGATCCTATGTTTCACCATGATATCCTGGCACAACTGGTACTTATGCATCTGTCATTATTATCTTTGATTCACTTTTAGAACCCATTTTCCTTATTGCATCTGCACTAGGACCTACAAATATCTTTCAATATTTTAGTTATTTATTACAATATCATTCTTTTGACAATCTTCAGAAAATTGTGCATTCTCTGATAAAAATCCAAAGCCTGGATGAATTGCTTAACTTTTTGTACTTAATGCAACATCTATAATTTTATCACTCCTTAGATATGATTGCACTAAGTTTCATTAATACATAATTACAAGCTTAAGGAGGACCTATATTATAAGCTTCATCAGCCATTTCAACAAACAAAGTATTTTTGTCAATATCACTATATACAGCTACAGTCTTTATTCCCATTTTCTTAGCTGTCCTCATTACTCTACAAGCTATTTCACCTCTATTTGCAACAAGCAATTTATTTATATATGACATCTTAATTGAATAATAAATTTTGTTTATGATTATATTTAATGATGCATAAGTAGTTTAATCTTATACATAGAAATTTTGAATCTTTATTTGCTTTATCAAAATGCTTTAATCAATTTATTAATTCCTCTAATCTTTAGATTATTTAATGTACAATCATTTTAACATATATTAAATAATCATAAAAACAATCTATTTTTCATTTAATTTCTTTAAATCACTATCAAATATTTTATTTAAAAAAAAAGTTCTAAAAATATATATCATTATGCAACCATAATTATAATACTTCTTTTAAATTAAAATTTGTTTTTATTTCTTACTTAAATAAAAACTTTAACCAATAGAATAAATTAATTTAAGTTTTTATCAACTATTTATTTGTTTAATAGTTTAAGAAATAGATCTTCAAATTAAATTTCTATTTTATTTTATAATTATTATTATCAAAAGAATGAATAAAGATTAATACAAGGTTTTATCATATTAGATTATATGAAATAATTAGTAAAGGAGAATAAAGAGTATTTTAATTTTGAAATTTAAAATAATAGAAAAGAACAAAATAGAATAAGATAATAAAAATTAAATCACACTAAATTGTATATTATATTTTAATCAATTAAATTGAACATTCTCAAACTGAAATTAAGACAAATAAGACAAGGATTGTTGTTGTCAAAGAGATGGCATATATTATTTCTTCTTCTTCCCCACTATCATCTGGAACATTTGTAGAATTATTGTTATTTATTTTAGCACATTTTTCACATTTACTTTTAGATGGATTCCATGAATAAGTTCTACCACTCAATTCAAAGCATAAGCTTGATGAAAGAGATGAAGCATCTCCAGAGGTACATCCACCATTTCCATCAGATACACATACGGTAATAGTTTTTTTATCAAATGATTGAATGGAATTACATTTAGTACCTTGCTATTAAGATATACAAGTTTGAGGTTCGCAAATATTATTATTGAAAACACAAGGTGCTTTAGAACAAGCAATTTGATCTTGGGCAGCACTTTAACATGAAGACATTAATTTACAGGTTCCTACAAGTGGATTGTTTTATGAAGGAATGAAAACACAAGTTCCATCAGTACCACCTCCATTGCATGCTTCTTTATCAGTATAAGATGAACATTTAGCAATATCGATACATTTAGTTCCATTAGAGACACATTTAAGTCCAATTTTATTTAAACAGAGAGCACTAGTAGTATCTTTATTATCTGAACATATCATAGGTCTACATAATGAGTAAGTATCATCATAAGTGCAATATCCGTCTGTTCCTAATTTACAATATGATTTAGCATATGTACTGCAATTAGTAATATCTATACATTTAGATCCATTAGTAGTACAAACTTTTTCAGCATTATATTTCCAGCATGATTCGAAAAGAGTTGTATCTTCAGTAGCATCAGAACATTATCTAATTCTACATGAGCTGTTTTCCCATTTACAAAGTCCATCAATTCCTCCAGATATGCAAGATGTTTCATTTATGTATTAATTACATTTGAGTTTTGTGATGCAGGTTTTACCATCACTTACACAATTGGAATTAAAAAGAGAACATTAATTAGTGAGTGTAGATAAATATAATTCACATTATTTAAATTTAACACATTTATTAGTATCTGATTACCAACCACATAAACCATCTATTCCTTATAAACAACTATTCGGTGTTATGTAATATGAACATAAACTAAATGGAACACAATTAACACCATCAGATGTACAGAAAAGAGAATATGATTAACATTCTTAGAAGGTTGTTTTCTAGATATCAGTACATTTAGTATAATTTTAACATTTATTAGTTGTATTAAGCCAAATGCATGGATTTCCAGATGAATCAACTAAACATTGAGTTTATGTGATATTAGCTGTACAATCAAAAGGTGGACTAGCACAACCATAACCAGTAGTTAGACATCCAGGTAAAAATGCACTGCAATCTTCATCTGTTTTCAAAGCTTTTGGTGCATCAGAGCAATTTCTTTTACGACAAGTATTAGTTGTTGTATCCCATATACAAGTGTCATCTAAAATAGATTTAGCTGATAAACAAATTGATTGATCCAAATATTCATTACATTAAACTTTACTAACACAACCACTACCCCTTGTTGTACAACTAGAATGAAGTGTTTAACATTCTGCATGAGTATTTACACTTAATGGAGCATCTGTACATTACCAATTTCTACATCCATTATTAGTACTATCCCAAGCACATTTTCCTATCTAAGTCTTTACTGGGGTGCTTATACACATAGAAGCATTTGTAAATGATGTGCAAGATGTTAGTGCAATACTTCTACATGAATGTATAAATTAACATTATGTATTTGCTAAACAAGATTTCTCTGATAAATAATTTTAACAACTTATTGTAATAACACAGATGAAATGGAAGTCCCATAACATTTCTATTTACCAGAATTACCTAAATAAGATGAACATTATGTTTATGTTCCAAAAAATGATGTACATTAACTTGTTACAGATGTACAACCTTTTCCATTTGTTATACACCCTTATTAAAAATTTGAACATTCTATATCAGTTGTTGCTGTTGTGTCATCACCACACCTACGTTCAATACAAGAACTTGTACTTGTAGCTTAAACTGTATTTGTGCATGTTCTACCTGCTCCCTTAAAATTATTACATTAAGCTAATGTACCTTTGTATGCACTACAAGGTTCTGTTGAAGCAATACAACCTTTTCCTCTAGTTAAACAACCAGTCATATATGAAGCACATTCAGAATCAGTAGTTGCAGTTGAATTATCTTAACAATATTTAATACTACATTCTCCTGCTTGATCTGATGCTCCCTTACATCTTTTAAAATTTCCAATTAATGCAAGACAACCATCTTAAGTACCAGTCATTTATGAACATTAAGTAGTATCATCTGTACAACCTTTACCAGTTGTTACACAACCATTTAAAAAAACCTTACATTCTTAATCAGTTGTTGCAGTTGTATTATGAATACATTATTTATTTATGCATGCACCTGTACCAGAGACCAACCAACAAGGTGTAACAATGTCCCCATTAAAAGCTGATAATTTTTAACAATTTAAAGCATTAGTATCAGAATATCCAGAACATGTAGTTTATTAATTAACACATGAACTCCCATTAAAAGTACAAGTACTAAGATGTGATCTACAAGCAGTTTCTGAAGTTTGAATAGGTGCATTTGTACATGTTCTAGCTTCACATTTTCCAATTTCATCATATTGTTTCCAACATTTCTCTCCAGTTGTTGTGATAATATTTTAACAAGCAGCTTATGTAAAATCAATATACAAATCACATGTAGCTTATTGCAATTTACATATCGTACCATCAAATGTACATTTTGATAAATATGTTGTACAATCACTAAGTTTTTTTGGTGCTGTCACATCAGAACAAGTTCTTTCTATGCAATTATCTGTTAAAATTGTACTAATCTTATTACAGAGATATCCGCTACTTCCCATAATTGATTGACATTAAGGAATTGTTAAGCTTGTGTAACTAGTACAATTTTAAACTGTTAAACAATTTGTTCCATTATAAGTACATTAATTTTAAATATGAGCTGCACAATTACTTGCATTAGGTGTACTAATAGTTTAATCACAAGTTCTAGCTATACATGATCCTGGACCAGCTGTCTCCATCCAACAAGAAGCTTCACTTGTAGTTTTTGCTTCTTTACATGCTGCTTATGTAAAATTAGTTGTATATAATGTACAATTAGCTTATTTATTAACACAACTAGTTCCATTAGAGGTACATGTGCTTAAATGATTTTAACATTCAGTTGCTGTAGTCTTTGAAACTTATGAACATGTTCTTACTTCACATGAACCTGTACCTGTTGTAGATTTCCAACAATAATTATTTGATGTATCTTTTGCTATTTAACAAGCAGTTTATGTAAAATTTGTATAACTAGTACATGCAGCAACTTTGTTTGTACATTTAGTACCTGTCCATATGCATCCTGTTAAAAAATTATCACATTCTGATTATGAATTAGCAGCATTTAATAAATCACAAGTTCTTTCGGAACATGTAGAATTTTAATAGTAACATTTTGTTCCACTCTAATTTATTGTAGAATCGCAAAGTTAAGAAGTCATTGTAGTATATGAACCACATGATGCTGCATTTATACAAGAATTATCAATCCCACTGTATCTACAACTTGGAGCATATTCTAGGCAATCTTCATGAGAATTAGCATCCTTTTTTTCAGAACATTCACTTTCAACACAAGAATTTCTTCTAGTGCATTATAATCCATTTCCATAATATTAAGAACATGTACTCTCATTTCCTGTAAATGTACTACAAGCTAAAGATTTATTCTAGCATCCTGTTCCATTAAATACACAACCCTTTAGAAAAGATGCACAATCATCATTACCATTTGCTGATATCTTATGAGAGCATTTTTTATCCACGCAATTACCACCAGATTCCCACCAACATTCAACCCCATTACCGATAAATTTAGAACAAATATCTGTAGAATTTCCTGAATACTATGTACATGGAATATCAGGAGTAACACATCCATTTCCATTAGTTAGACAACCAGTCAAATGAGTATGACATTCACTATTAGATGTAGCAGTAGTATTATCAGTGCATTTAATATTTCTACATGATTATATATTATCTTCTTTATAACATTTTTTAGTTCCATTTTCACCTTTAAACAATTTACATTAATCAATAGTTCCAATATAAGAGGAACATGGTTCAGATACACTAATGCATCCAGCACCTTTAGTAACACATCCCTCAAGAAAAGTGGAACAATCTGTATCAGAAGTGGCAGTTGTATTATCAGAACATTTCCTAATGGAACAAGGAGCCTTAGTTTCACTAGTAGACCAACATTTTTTAGAATTGGCAACAAAGTTAGGACAAGTAGTTTTATCACCTCTGAATACAGTACATTCAGAATTAGAATCTTAGCAACCATCTCCAGAATAAACACATCTAATCATAAATTTCGAACATAATTCATCTGATGTATTTGCAACTTTATCAGCTTCATTACATAATTTTTCTCTACAAATAGTTCCATTCCAAATACATGGTCTTCCTTTAGCAAGATTATTAGTACACATACTAATTGAAGTATATTTAGAGCATTCAGAATCGACACAAAAACCAGACCATAAACAATCAGTGGTTGCTGTACATGTTAATTATTTTTAGGTAGCTAGACAAGTTTCAGTTTAAACGCAACCAGAACCATTTGATAAACATCCAAATTGATAGGCTTTACAATTATCATTGGAATCATAATTATCACCTTTAGCATTTACACATATCCTAGCTTAACATGGTTTATCAGTAGTTGCATCAATTCCTTCACATCTACCATCTGATCCAATCCATTTACTGCATGTAGTAATAGTACCAGTAAATGTAGAACAAGCTTTCTTTTCTGATGTACATCCTTAACCATTTGTATAACAATTAGTTAAGAAATCAGAACATAATTTATCTGTATTATAACTAATCTCACCATCTGAACACAATTTATTTCTACAATTTGAAGTTGAATCATTTGTAACATCTCCCCAGCATTATCCATTTAAACCTATAAATTTAGAACAAGTGTCTTTTGTTCCTGTAAAAGCAGAACAATTTTGAAGTTAACTTACACAATTTAAGCCATTATATTTACAACCTATTAAATAATTATTACATAGTAGAGTTGAGAAAAAGTCTGCAGGAGCATTTTCACAAGTTCTCACTTAACATTCATTTGTAGCTGTTCCAACACAATATCCATCATTTCCCATTCTTTTCAAACAATTAAATGGATCTAATTTATACTCTGAACAATTTGGTAAAGGATTAATAGAACATCCAGATCCATTTGTGATACATCCTTATACGAATGAATTACATTAAATATCAGTTGTATATTCTAAAGGTGCTGAATCACAACTTCTCTTAATACATGTTCCATCTGTAGCTGTTCCACAAACACCATCAGATCCTATCATATTATAACAATCTGATTTATATTCACTACATAAAGATTTTTAATCTGCACAACCTAATCCTATTGTTACACATCCCGCCTTAAATTAATTACATTCTCCATCCAATTTCAGTGTTGAAGGTGCTTCACTACACTTTTATGCTCTACATTTTGGATTTGCAGTTTCATCCCAAATACAAAATTAGGTAGATGTATCACTTACATTACTATTGCAAATCTCTAATGTTTTATAAATCTCACAAGATTAAGGATCAATACATGAAATACCATCAGATATACAATATTATGATATTGTTTAACATTCTTTCGTGCTTGTTTTAAGAAAAGCTTAACATCCACTAAAATGTTGGCATTTCCCATCATAAAAAGCGCATCCTCTAGTTTTAGGACAGTTTGTGACTGGTGATTATATCGAACCACAATAAACACTTACAACAGCAAGAGCAGTTGGAGTTGAAGTACATGTTGCTGCTGTTGTTGTTGTAGATGGGGTGAAAGTGCACCCTAACGCGACACAGTCAAATTTTGATTTTACTGTTGTACATGTGCACTTCTCTTCTGAAGAAACAGATTGCGTCTTAGTTCCTATTGTTAATAGTACTGAAAGAACCAAAAATGATTGGATATTCATATATAAAATAAATTTTTCATCTAATATGAATTGCTTAATCAGCTTTAAACCTAAAAATCTAATTTTATAAATCTAAATCCTTCCTCATTTAAATAGAATTTCTTCCATAATTCCAAAATACTTTAATTAGCATATTAAACTTAATTTTATAATAATCTTAAGCAACTCTCAACTTTTTTCCTTCAGCTCAATTTGTCCATAATTTTACTTTGATATCAATAAAATTGCTTAAAAATTAATAATTCTTAAATGAATCAAATAAAGGCAAAATTGATCCTAATTATCTCATTCAACTTTTTAAAGTTCTTTATATGAATAGGGAATGAATACATTAGTTATAATTCTTTGCCTTTAATCGTATTTAATTAAAAGAATGATTTAAACTTCAATATTTTAAAAGTCAACACTTCTTGGTAGTATATTAGAATTTAAATTTAAATCAAGAATAATATTTATATAATATATTATAGTAAATTAGAATTAATATTAAATTATTAATATTTCATTAACCATGTAATAATTCTCTCAATTTTTGATTCTACTACTTGACTGCATAATCTAAAGCAGTATTACCATCTATATATATAATTTTCATTTACATTTGTCTTTTAAGCTTGTATCAGCTTTTTACGATAGAAGATATTTGACAACAAGAAAATGATTACCTCTGGTGGCCAAAATGAGAGGTGTAAATTAATTTCCATAACTCTATTCATTAATATCATGTTTAAGAGTAACAAGCTTTCTTACAATATCTAAATCTCCATCTCTTGCAGCTCCCCATAATGCTATCTTATTATGATTTAAGATTTACTTTTAAATGCAAATTTCACTTCAGAGTTTGTCATAATTTGATCTGCTGTTTAACCTTTGGTTGTACGCATATTACTATATTTATCTTCATCTGCATCATATCTACTTAACATATGAACAACATTTTTATGCATATTAAATGATGCATAATGTAGAGGAGTCCAATCTCGATTATCTAATGCATAAATATTGGCCCCATTTTCAAATAAAACTCTTACCACATCTGCAAATCCTTTCTTGGCTGCTAAATGCATTGGAGTGCACAATTAATCATCTTAACAATCGGGATGTGCTCCTCTCTCAAATTAAATTATATCTTTCTTATTTACACTTTTATCCTTTTATTTTTAACCCAAATCTATTAATAATTTTATAGCTTTTGGTTAATTATTAATTGCTGCTGCATGTAATGGATAATATCCTTTATTAGAAAATATGGACTAACTAGCACCTCTTTCATATAATGTATTGATTGCATCTAATTCTCCATAATATGCTGCATGATGTATAGGTGTCCATCCATTTGTATCTATTACATTTACATCTGCTTCCATTTCTAATACCTTATCTAACATAGCCTTATTTTAAGCTTTATGTGTATGTTCAATTGCATTATGTACTGGTGCTATTCCATATATCGTTGCTTTTCCATTTACTTTCTATCCACAATTTACTAATAATGTAAAACTTTTCTCATCTCCTTATTTTGCAGCATTCTTTAGATCCATCAAATATTTCCTAACAGAATCATTCGAAGCATATTCTAATACATCCAATAGCTTTTTTCGGCATTTAATTTTTGGATCTCCCCCTATTGATAACAAAAATTAAATTGCCGCAAAATCTCCTGCAAATGAAGCAATGTGCATAGGAGTCTTTTATAAATTATAATTTTTTCATACATAACCATCACTATCTTATTGATTTGCTAATTCTTTTTATATTCCCTTTATTTTTTTCATAAAATTATACTATTGCTATTCAAGAAAATACTTTTCTATAAAATTTGATGCTAATTCATTATAATGCATATATTATCTAGGATCTATTTTTTTATCTGAAGATGATTCTAATAACTATACTTCCATAAACATATCATAAAAAAATTCCCAACCTTATAATTTTAATCCATATAAAGTTAAATACTTTGTACATTATATACATTTTGTATATTTTGATAAACTTGCATAATGAATTGGATTTCTTTAGTATTAATCATTAGTAAAGATTGCCTTATTCAAATACAATAAATTTGTATCTAAATATTTTTAATATTGATCATGAACTTCTGTTTAAAAGGCTTAAAATCTCTATTGAACTTACCTTAAGTGTTTATCTGAACATGCCAATTCACCATGATGAGAATCTGTTTTTTTGAATCTATATTTTTTCATAATTAATTTCAATTCTTCCATCGAACTCATATTCAGATTATGTCTTAACATTTAATACATAATTTGAAGACATTCAATATGTCCTCTATACGCACAGATATAAAATACATTATATCCCGAAGTTGAAATAATAAATGGATCTGCTCCTTTCATCAATAGAAACATAACTATATTTTAAAAGTTAAAATAACTATCAATCAACATATCAATTACCAAGCGTAAAATAAAGCTGTTTTACCTTCTTAATCTTTTGAATTAACTACCTACTTAACATTATCAACAGAATTTATCAATTTATGTAAGAGTGTTAATTTTCCATCAATAGTTAATGAAAAGATGTTTGGATCTTTAGTTTTTGGATTGATGACATTAAAAACAAGCGGCATTGTTAGAAGGTCCTTTTATTAATCCATTTATAAATATAATTAATAATGTCTGTTAATTATAGTATATGCAGTTAACAAATAATGATCAAAATTTAGTATTTAATACTGATTTCTATTTACAAAAGTGTCGCTAACCTAACTTGAGTTTATCAATATGAGTAATATCAATCGAATCCTCAACATAATCTAATTAAAATTCATCAATTTATTATAATTTATTTGGATTATTAGATAAAGTACAAGTTCTATTCTTAGGATTTTAAGGAGATTAACTAAATAATTGTATAGCATAATTCAATTCGAACATCATGTCCATTTCTAAACTTGCATGTACATTAATATTATTGTTATATTTGCTCATTTCATACTACTATTTAGAAAGGATCGCCATTGGTAATTGAATTGTCTAAATAATCTTTACCTCAAAAAATGGATGACACAGTGCTTATTCAGCAGAAATGCGATCTTTTGGATATTTTTTTGTCATCTATAAAATCAAATGTTCCACTATTATCAAATTATTTAAATACATACATTCCTATGGGTAAAGATGAATTGGAAATTCAAAATAAGCATCTAAATTTCTCTTAATTGTTTATTTTTAATCTTAAGATTTAAAAGGGTTGTATCCATAGAGCCTAAAATACTTTAATTGAAATACATAACAAATAAAGTTATACCAAAACTAAAAACATCACACTATCTGCTATAAGATTTTTTGGTTTCATCAAATCTTATTATTTCTGGTGCTGAATAACTAAAATATATTATTTAATTAATACCCAGGAGAACCACAGGATGGAAATGGTAAATCTTTTTTATTGGTACTTACAGCTAATCCAAAGTCGATAAGACATGGTTCTGAAAGCTTGCCATTTTTTAACATAATATTTTATGGTTTAATATCTCTATGCATTATATTGTGTTCATGGATCTCTTTAATTGCCAATAACATTTTATAAATAAAGCTTTTCAATTCAGATCCTTAAAAAATGAGTTTGCTGGCAGCTTTTGAGATTAATTCATAACCATGAATATATTCAGTAACTAAAAATAGTTTATCAGATGTCTCATAAACTCGATGTAGTTTGATGATATTTTCATGCTCTAATTCTCTCAAACTTGAAATCTCACTTAGTAATTGCTCTTCATATTACTAGTTAATTGTTAAAATTTTTGATTTCTTCTTAGGGATAGCTTTTACAGCAAATAAATCTCCTTCTTTATTTCTCCCCTCATAAACCTTATTAACATACAATATTACTTTTGAGAAGCTTCCATTCCCAATCAAGTTTCCCAATATAATATCATCATTAAATGTGGTCAATATACAACATTTTGATAAAAGTTTAGTCCACAATTGATATTGATTTTCATCATCTGTACTTAATACAATTTGAAATCCGTTATTTTTGAGACATATCTGATATTCTTAATTAGATTTTTAAAATGAAGCATAGACCCCATCCAATTTAACACTTCCCTTAATTTGCTTAAAATTACCTACATCTGAATACAACAAGTATTGCTTAATTAAAATGTACTAACGCAAGCATTTCTAACCTAGTCTTTTACCAAATTTGTAGAAATTTGAGATTAAAACTTTTGAAGTCTCATTATGATCAAATAAAGGAATATTTTAGTTATTCCAAAAATTTCCACAGTTCATTTGATAAATCATTCAATATGATCTTATTCAATAATATTAATAATCAAAAGAATATCAATATCGAAAAAAAAGATTCATTGTCCTTATTGATTAATATTTTTAATATTGATTCATTTTACTTACTTGCTTAATTTTGATTGACCTAAATAAAGTTAAACAAAATTGATCCACTTTCTGTTGAAGAAATTTTAAATAATGATAATTCATAAAATAATAAATTCAATAATTTATATCATTGTTCATATTATCTCTTTTAATTTTATAAAATGATCTTCAATAAAAATAATTAAAAAATTTGAAAACTCACAAATATTTGTTTGATTTATTCTAATTTCAATTAATTTTCTATCAAGAAAACTGCATCATAAATGCATTAAATTTATTTAAATTTGAAAATATAATGTGTCTGAATGAGGTGGATTGAATAAAAAGTAATAAAATTATATTTTTAATTTAATAATGGACGATGAATAATAGGAGAAATAGCAACTAGCTAATGATGGTAGATAAATGACTTTGATTGATCAAATCATTAGAAATAAAGTTTTTAATAGTCGATATTGGAAAGAGGACTGTTTTGGGTTAACTGCTGTAACTTTAGTTGATAAAGCATGCAAATTAGATTGTGTAGGTAAATTATGAAATTTATAATTAACAGGTGCAACATATTCTGGTACTGGAAAACCTGTTCCATTTCTATGTTTATTGATGAAACTTTTGTAAATCAATCCAGAAAAAGACATCATACTTGAATTCCTTCAAAGCAAAGATTATAAATATATAAATGCTTTAGCAATGTTTTACATAAGATTAACATCAAAAGCAAAGGAAGCATATCCAACTATAGAATAATTTTATTCAGATTTTCGTAAAATCAGGATTCGAAATTTAGATGGTACTTTTGCAATTTGGCACATGGATGAATTAGCTGAGAAACTGTTAAATGAAGAAAATATATTTGGAATATCATTGCCAAGATTTTAAAAAAGATGGATTTTAGAAGAGCTAGGCTAATTGGAAGCAAGGAAAAGTGTTTTAGAAGAAGAATTAAAGAATAAAGAATAAGGTCAATAAGAATAAGAATAAGAAGGAGAGAAAGGTTAAGAATAAAAAGAAGAGAAAAGATCAAGGAGTAGAAGTCGAAGTAGAAGCCATAAAAAACATAAAAAAAACAATAAGCATTCTTCTCATAATAGAAAGTGATACTTAAGCTTAAATGTGTTAATAATTTCAAATATTAATATAAATAAATGTCATATAGAGAACTTCGTAACTTCTGTGAATAGATGAGGGCTTTAGGATATCATAGAATTATATCAATGGAAAACTTTAGGAGGCCTAATTTTGAATTGGTTGCTGATATATTATATTGGTTAGCCTTGAAGTATGATCCAAATACAGATATATCAGATAATATTGATGAGGAGGTATTTCATTAAGATTAAAATTTAGAGAAATAGAGTTGAATTTATAAAATAAATAACTACTCTTTTTGTTAGTAAAGCTAGACTTAAGATAAATCCTAAGAGATTATATATGGCAGATGTTTATGCAGTGCAAGAAATTTTGAAAATTTCAACTTTTCTATATAAAGCTTAAATTTCTTAACCTGCAGAAGAGGATGAAGTGCATGATTTCGTAAACATATTAATTTGATATTTGTAAGTCACTTCCCTCTAAATTAAGTAATATAAAGAGTCATAAGTTATTGGCATAAGAAATAACCGATTTAGCTACAAGATTATATGATTAATTAGGAAAAGAAGATGAAGTGAGGGTTGCAAGAGTAATAATCCTATCCTTATAAATAGGAAAAAGCTCTGTAATTTTTATCGAATGTATCAAGAGGTGGAAACTCTCAATCTGAATAATCTTATATTTAAAAATGCATTTAAACAATATTGAAACAATAAGAATAAAGCATTCAAGATATGTAAAAATATGTGACTGGTTTGGAAAGAGATTAAAAGTAGATTGAAGAAAAAATAAAGAGAAAAACAAAGGAATTGGAATAAGCTGAGAAAAGATTAAAAGGAATGACAAGCGTGAAACCAGCATATTAAGAAGAATATGATAGATAGGAATATGAGTTAGAAAAGTTATATTAAGTAATAGAAATATCATTCATATTATTAGGTTTATGTTGAGAAGTTTAGAAATCTAGTTTATTTGGAACATGTATTGGATGTTTAGAATAAATAAGCAGAAATTGAGTAAAAAAAGAAGAACTAAATATTATAAGGAGTAAGAGGTGTAATTTAGGACGCAGAGATGAATGAGTTGAGAGGAGGTGATGATGATGAAAATGATGATTAGTTAGAGTAATTAGGAGGCGACTCTAGATTATAATCAAGCAATTAAGAGAAACGTAATAACGATTTTATGAGATAACAACATGGAGGTTTTAATAAATAACAACTGGATGAAGATGTAGAAGGAGATGACATAGATGATTTAAGTGGAGGTGGAGATGAAGAGGAAGGAGAGGAAGATGAAGAAGATGGAATTGAAAATTTAGATGATGATGGTGAAGATGCAGACTTTTGAAAATAACAAAATATTATATGAATTAATATAATTAAAAATGGGTTTAAGCTCTAATAAAAGTGAACCATTGAACCACGTGAAACAAGTATATTTTTCGAATAATTCAATATCAGATTGCTCGATTATTAGATATTAATAATCCGAGAAATGTTAATCACCAATATGCTAATAATATCATAATAATTCTAAACTAGTACACTGGAACAGGAATCAAATTAACTCATTAATATTCAAGTAATTTATCGAAAAGCGAGTGGGATTAAATATAAAAAGCTTTTGGGGTAGAGTTATAAATTATATCAAGATAGTAATAAAGAAACTTCTTAGTGGTAGATCATTAGGTAGGTTCTTTCTTCCAATAATTAATGTATGATAAGTTTTTATGGTATTTTTTTAGTTAAGGTTCTTAAAATTCTTAATTAAGCCAATTTGAAACTGATTAGGAACTCCATTTAATTATTAATTTTATATAACAGCTTTTAAATGGAAAAGAATTGGAAGATTAGAATTTTTTAGGAAATTATTCGCCTTTTTGTGATTATATTTTTATTAATATAATATTTCTAGATGTTTTAGATTAATTTTTGTAATCATTTAAATTATTATTATAGTAAGGGAATTAATAAATTATTTATTCCATATGTGAATATATTTCAGAAATCTTTGAATTGTTAATCGTAATCTTTTTAAGGTTTTGCATGATCATCATCGATTACCTTGTTTGGGTCTAGATTAGATTGTATTCTATATTACCTTCACTAGTGAAATCTTTATCAAATCCATCCAACCATTATTCTCCTTAAACTCTTGGTTTATAAGGAGTGGGTACTTTTTTTTATATCAATTATTCCCAATTGATATCTTTAAACCAAGGATGAGCAATTAATTCATGATAATCACCTTTGGCTCCCAATCTTGCTAATCGATCTCTAACGAGTAACTTTTATAATGTAAGAATTTACTCTTGAAATAAAATCTTTAGCTTCTTTACTTACTTCTGGTCTTTCAGGAAATCTAAGTTCAGCTTCTTTAATCAACTTAAACATAATGGTTTAATTTTTGTTATAAAATGGAGGTAATCCATACATCATTTCATATGTAAGTATACCTAGACTCCACCAATCAGCTGTTTTATCACAACCATATCCAAGAATGACTTCTGGACAAAGATACTCAGGAGTTCCACAAAATGTCATAGCTAATTCATTTTTACGAACTATTTTAGCCATTCCAAAATCAGTTAGAAATACATTACCAACATCATCCATCAAAATATTTTCCAATTTAAGATCACGATAAACAATATCTTTGCTATGTAAATGTCCTAATCCTAACAATAATTCAGCCACATAAAATTTAGCTCTTTTTTCATCGAATTTTCTTGCCATTCTTAAATGTTAAAATAATTCCCCTCCTTTCATGAATTGCATAATGAAAAATAATTTCTATGGAGTTTAAAATGCATAAGCTAAATTCACTAAAAATGGATGATTAACATGTTCTAATATCATTTTCTCTGTTTTTGTATGTTCAAGTTGATCTTTTTCAATAATGTCTTCTTTTCTAATTGTTTTCATAGCAAACCATTCTCCTGTGTCTTTTTTCTCAACTAACATTACTTATCCAAAAGCCCCTCTACCTAAGACTTTTAAGATAGTGAAGTCATCTAATGTGACTTCCTTACCTTTCTCTCTAGCCCACAAAGTTTAAGTTTTCTTTCTGGCATCATCTTTTTCTTTAGTCTCTCCTTCTAAGATTTAAGCAAATATTTCATTATCCATATATTATGGTTATTCTGAGGGTATTTTTGACATATGCTTCTTCTTATCACTTTTTGTAGTTGCATAATTGTATAATGATACATCTTCCTTAAAATAACTAAATACAATATATATGATAATAATACATTGCTAGTTTAGCTTTAGTGAAGAAACAATAACCTTCAAGGATTTTAGACACGATTTTGTTGCGTCTAAAATTAATAAAAAACCTAACTTACTTATCATAGCTGCTATATCTATAATCATATTCATCTGGAACATGGATGACAAATTCAGTACCAATTGAGGATAATGTAATAGCCTTAATCTTATTATATGGTATCTTCCTCTTAATTGCTAATGAATTGACATAAATGAATGATAATACATGTGCCTTTCAGATTTATGACATTCTTAGTTGACACCAGCAAACTACGTTCTTGTCTCTTTTTGTAATCATTAAACTTAAACAAGTTGCATGATAATAAAATGCGTTCTAGATAGATTATCAACCTCGATTACCATCTTAATCCAACTATTTAGAAAACTTATCATTCTCTAAATTGAGTTCATCATTAGGATTATGATTTTACATAGTATTTATTAAATAATCATTCCCATTAAATCCGTTTACCTTCTTTCCATACTCCTTTTCGAGAAGTTCCATTAGTAAAGAAGTACTCTCCTACCCCATCCTATTTACCCATTACCCATTAACCTATATACTTATGACCATCCTCCCATATCAATGTTCCAACACCATGTTTTTATCCATCTTTATATTCTCCTTCATACTATCTCCCTAAATAATCTGCATTCCATACCATCTTCCCATCTCATTATACCCTTTCCATTCATCTAATTATTCACCCATTCTCCTTCATAAACCCTCCCATCTGGCCAAAAATACTTTCCTTATCCATGAAGATTATTCATCTCAAAATTACCTTCATATTTTGAACCATCTGGATAAGTTAATTTACCAAAACCTTCCTTTTTCCCTTATTTATAATAACCTTTACAAAGATATAATTCATATAGCTACCTTCAAAAATTGATCCATCTGGCCAACTCTCAATACCATATCCATCTTATCTATCTTGCACCCATTCACCCTCATATTAAGCTTAGTTGATGTTTATGTAGACCCCTTTTCCATGCGCTTAATCATTTAACCATTCTCCCTTGTAGACATCCCCATCAGAATGAGTCAAAATACCATACCCGTTAGCCTTATTGTTCTTCCATTCTCCATTGTAAATTGATCTATAAACTCAAATTAACTTATATTATACCCATCTGGCCATCTCTATTCTCCTTATCCCCAACGTTTACCTTACATCCACTCTCCTTCATAGTATGCATCATTTTCCATTAATATTTTTCTTAGTTTCACAGGAACACTTTAATTTAAAGTAGATTAGATTAATATTTCATCTTCAATTGAAATTATTTAAGGAAGAGCACTTTTATTAGAACATTGAGAATATTGATCTTCCTTATTCTCCTTAGATTTCCCCTAAGTTGAGTGCATTATTAAATCATCACTCTTTATTCCTGTTTCTATTGCAAATTCTTCCTTTTTTGTAAGCTATTGTACACCTTCACTAACATAGCACATCTTAGTACAATTACCCATTTATTTTAATTAATAAAATATATATTTTTCACTATTGCTCTTCGATTCTCATATTGTCATCGTTACCCCAATCTAAATAGTTTTTTGATTCAGCTGCTTTATATTCACTAATAAGGGATTCTAAACATTCTCTAGATTCATCAAATTCCTCTAGAGAATCCTTAAACATAGGTTCTTTTTTGTATTAATCAAGGAAAGCATTTCTATTTCTAAGTTTATGATATTGTTTTAATATTCTATCAAAAAGCTAAAAAGTTAGGAATGATTATTACTGAATGAATACTAGTATGATTAGCCAACATAAGTCCACTAACTTTATGAGAGGTTTCAATATATGGACTCTTTTTTGAAAGTGCAACTTGAATAGAAGTAGGACCCCATTCAATGAAACTAGCAAGTTTACGTTCTCTAATTCTTTATAAACTTTTATGTATTTAAGTGGCATCAACATCCCCTTGAATGATATTAAGGATGGAGATATAATTGCCATTTTTGGTAGAAGTAGAAACCATAATATTTTTAGTTTGAAGTAATCTTCTCATAACATCTAAGACAGTAGTTTTTCTGACAGAAGAAATCTAAAGTTTAAGTGTAAAAATACATGTCTGTCAATAGTTAAAGGAGTATATCCAGTCATAAGGAAATGACATCTAGGAGTTGGTACTAATCCAGCTAAGATACTAACTAAATCATTATTCATATATCCAGGATATCTAAGTGTAGTAGTAGAAGCTGCCATAACCATAGCAACAAGAGAATTAGTCTATGATACAGTTGGAATAGGTATTTTAAGTCTGTCTACAGCGATTCTATTGAGAGCAGTATTATCTAAAACAACAACAGCATCAGCATTTTATGCTAATCTACGTAATGTAAGTAAAGAATTGTATGGTTAAACAACAACATCACTAGTTTCATTTTAATTAGGAAAGACTGAATATGTTTGTATGATTTTCTTAGGAAAACGATCATTCAATCTTTCAAGTATATAAGATCCTGATCCTGAACCTGTACCACCAGCAATAGAATGAAGCATAAGAAATCCTTCTAAACTATCTGATCCATCTGCTTCTCTATCTATCATTTCCATTAATTCTTCTTAATATTTTTCACCTTATGAATAACCACAAGCCCAATTGTTTCCTGCTCCACCTCCATCTTTTGAAATGAATATATTCTCTGGATTGAATAAAGTTGAAAATTGGGATGTTTATATATAGTTTATAACTCTAGGTTCCATATCAATCAATAATGCTCTTGGTATGTAATGTTCATCATCTGCTTAATAGAAAAATACATCTTTTCTATCATCACCTTAAAGTGCAAATTCCTCCAAAATTCCTTCATTATTTATACCATGTTCTTTTATTAATTATTTCCAAAACTCAATTCCAACTAAATGTATTTCATTTTATATATACTTTGATTACCACATTATCCAACTTGAAGTGTGATGATTTCGCGAGGCATTACAGAATTTAAATTTTATATTTATTATTTTCCCCTCCTAATATTATAATATTAACGGCAATGCGCAATAGTCTAATAACCCAACTTGAATTCAAAGATGGAATATATTAAGGATAAACATTACAATCAAGATATAAATAAGGAATTGGAGTTTATTTATGGGAGAATGGATCTGCTTATTTTGGTGAATGGAAATCAGATTAAATAGATGGTAATGGAATTCTGTTCTTACCACCTAAAACTATAATACAAGGATAATTTAACACAGGAAAATTACATGGAAATACTCTTATATCGACAAGGTTAGCTAAATATTAAGGTAAATGGCTCAACGGTTTACCTAATGGAAGTATGACTGGTTATTCAAACTAAGGAGAAGTTACTATAGCTTTCTAAGATGGTAAACCTACTAGAGGTTTAAGTTAAAGAGAATAATCATTCGATGTACCTAGTATAAAGAATGTTTAATGTTACAACAGTTCTGCTTTATAATCTATTGATTGGTTAGATGGAACTTTCTATGGAGTTACAGCTAAAAATTCAGCTAATAAAATTGCACCTAATGGTTTAGGTATTTATTTACCCAAAAATGCATTATTTTAATGTGGATAATTTAAAGATGGACACTTAAATGGTTTAGGTAGAGTATAACAAACAACAGGTGAAGTATATTAAGGATTTTTTGAAAATGGAAAATATCATGGAAGAGGCATCTATTTATTTAAAGAAGATGAATTATAATGGGTAAAGGGTTTGTGGAGATTTGGAGACTTAATTGAAATATACCAAAATGGATTAGTTAAAAATTGTACTGCTCCTAAAGATCTTATGTGTATATTTATTATTTCATTATTTAGTTCCATACAGTGATCATAAAAACCCTATCTCTATTAGATAACCAATCAATCTTAATAATATTAAGGAAATTGAAGACTTATTTTAAATACAATTCTCTAGATAATAACCTATCCAATAATAAACTACTAATACTAATACTACTCCGAGTCCTGAACCTAAAACAAAACTCTCTAATCATAAATATTTTTAAAATTCCATGACTACCTCTTATTAGAGAATTTCAGATGCTCTACTTACAAATAAATAAAACTCATCTCCTGAAAGAAACAGCACATAATTAATCAACTATTATAAAGGATAATTAAAAGATATTGATTAAAATGAATTAAAATAATCATCTAAATCTAGCAAACCTAAATCAAATACTAAAAAATCTCATTCTAATTCTAAAAAATGTTTAATTCAAAATTCTATCAATAAAGATTCAATTAATAATAAATCATCAAGTAAATTAAATTAATCAGCCTATGTTGAAGAAATTAAAAAACTATAAACTCAATTCACCAAACCTTTTGATCACAATAAAAGTGTTCAATCTCAATAAAGCTAAATTTATTAAGCAATCTTGGATAGTGAAGAACATTCTAGTTAGAGAAGCGAATTATTTTAAGAAAAGTAATAATCATCACCAAAAGATCATATCGATTAAATTATACAAAAATCTAAAAATTATTAAAAATAACAATCTATTGAATAATCAAAATAATCCATGCTTGATTAATCAAGATAATCGAGATAATCAAGATAATCTTATTAATCAAAATAACTCAAAAGTCCTTAAAATTTATAACAATCTAAATCATCATAATAATCAAGATGTAAATCTTCTGAAGGTAATAAAAAATAGTTTCAATAAAAACATGAATTTTAAGATCTAAATAAATTCAAAAGTGAAGGTAATTAAATAAAAAATAATGCAAGTAAATAAACAGAATAACTTCCATTAGATACATCTGAATAATCTTAAAAATTATGGGAATCCAGATAAATTAAAGAATTTTCATAATAAAGAGATTCAAAACCATCAATCTAATCCTCATAACCTGTATCATAAAGAATTTCAATCAATTCTATGAATTAAGTTGCTTCTTAACAAATTACTCCCCAGTAATCACATAGAGATTAATATGAATAAATTAAGTAATAATCATAATAATTATAATAAATTTAATAGTTTTAAGAATCCTAATAAATCAAAAAACTATAATAATCATAATAGTCTTAATAATAAATAAATCAATAATAATAATAAGACATAGATCATAACAAAAAGTTGAGTTTCTGTTAATAAGATTTTGCTTTAGATATGAGAAATACAGCAATATTTAATTAAGTTGAATCTAATCAATCTAGTTAAATGAAATTTCATAAACATAAAAGAAGTTAATCATAAACTGATTTTGATAAATTTGACATCTAAGATGATACTTAAATGAAATTAATCAAATAATAATAATAATATATGTAATAACTAATAGAATAATAATAAAAAGAACTAGAATAGCTTAAATTTCAGTAATAATAATTAGAAGAAGAAAATTAAATCTCATAAAGTAGACCAGGATATAAAACTAATGCTTCAATGGATTCATAAGAGAGTTATCCTTAGTAATAATCTGAAAGCTTTCATTAAGATTTTATCAAATCAGTAAGTGATGTATTAAAGAGTGAGTTGAAAAAAAAATAAGAAGATTCAATTATCAGAGATTATTAAAATAATTCTCCTCATTTTGAACAATCAAAAATAACAAATAATTAGCAATCTATGTTTTTTAATGACGTTTAGAGTTTAGAAAATGTTAATGTAAATGAAAGAGTAAATAAGAGAACATCAAGCAAATAATAAGAAGATATCAATAAATCAAGAGCTGAGTCTCTATTGATAAAAAAATAACCAGTATCTCACAGTGAATTAGATGATTTGTAAATTGATAAAGTTTAAGATGCATTGTCTAAATAATCTAGACAATCAAGACAATCATTTCAATCAAGATTTTCTGGAGAAAATAAATAGTAAAGATCTTAATCACATCAATCAAGTTAACGAAATTATTCCAATTAATAACATTCCTTTTATTAATAATAATCACAGGAATAATTTTATGCTCAAAAATAGTCATCAGCTATTTAAGAAAATGAGTAGTCTTAAAATCAATCATAAAATCAAGATTAATACATTAAAGTTGAATTAATTACTTAAATTAATAACTAAGATCAAATACGTCATATTGAAAATAAACAAGATCAAATACGTTATATTGAAAATTAATAAGATCAAATACGTCATATTAAAAATTAGCAAGATCAAATACCTCATATTGAGAATAAATAAGACTAATCATTTAGTTCACAATAGATATCTAATATTTCTAATCAATTTTAAAATGAAACAAATAGTATAAAAAAATAAACTCAAGAAGAGTCTATTTTATCAAAATAAAAATAATAAGATAATAATATTCTAAAATAAAAATAATAAAATACTGTATTAAAAAAGAAAGAGTAAGATTAAAGTAAATAAGAAGAATCAAATGACTAATTAATCAAAAAATAATCCTAAAAATAGTTTTCTTAAACATAATTGAAGTATGTAGCTTGTCCATCCTAACATTCTTTACCAGGTTAGGTAAATTTTTCTGATAAATAATTTTAAATTAAACCAGATTAATAGAGTGAAAATATATAAGTAACCATAAGAGATGATTAATCAGATACAAATTAAAATATTCAGGAAATAAAACTACAATTAGCAGCTTAAAAGGAAATACTTTCATAACTTTATCATTCAATTTAAGAATCTAAATATATGAAGGTTTCAAATTTTGATTCTGATAAGAGAATAAGTGAATAAAGAACAGTAAAAAGAGGAATGGTTAGCGGAGTAGTTGATCCATGTAGTAGTCCAATAAAGAAAGTAATTATAACAAAAGGAGCATTCCCTGCTTTTACTATTATAAAATCCTTATCACCGATAAGACTTTGAATATTATTATAATATTTATTTTTATTTTAACAGATAAAATAATATTAATGGAATTTATTTTTTTCATTCTAAATTCTCATCAATTTTTCTAAATTGCCAAGGCCACCTCCAATTATATAAAAATTGTCTGAAATCAAAACGATTGTCATCCTATGAAAATGCTTAAGCATGAAATGAAGCAGTAATTGTTACTACTTTGTGTCTGTTTAAAGCATAGTACTTAAAAAATTTCTTTACTTTTTCAGCTACTTATTGTGCACTTAGATTGGACCAAAGATATCTTAATTTCTTAAACAAACTAACTGGTCCTAATTTTTAAACCTTTCTCAATTTTGCAAATGTTTCTAATTCGTTGAATGTTAATTCCATTTCATTTTCTGAAACTTGACCTTCAGCCGATTAAGGTCTTAGTTCAGGTGAAGGCTTAGCTTCCAATATTAATTAAATAGCAGAAAAGTTAAAAGTCTTGTAGCAAAATTAAAGAAGTTCTTTCAAATCATTTTTACTTAAACTACCTATTGGATTGATATCAGCACTGGAACAATCATATTTAGTAAAAAATCCTCTGATTGATTCATCTAGATTGCTAGATCCAAGAACAATTAAAAATCCTTTTTTTCCATTATTCCATGGAGTTAATTAAGCTAACAAATAAGTAAGCACCATTCTTGATCTTGCTTATATATTTTATAAAGCTAGATCTTCTGATAGGGATCCTCCATTTACAATAAATTAAGGATCTTTTTTTAAGATAGGTTTAATACAGGAAGTACATGCTTTACAAATTTAATCAATTTCAACTTCATAATGTTTGCTTCCTATCTACTCTGCTAGTAATCTTGATCTAGCTCTTGAATCTTAGGTTGAATTTTCAGATCCTAGATATACAGTAAAGAATAGCCGATTAACAATTTCTTAAGGAGATTTAGGAGTGAAAGTATCATCTTCAACAATTTTGCGTAATTATTGCAATACTTTAATATGTGTTTAGAAATCATTATCAACAAGGGAAATAGTTTTAAATATTTTATTAGCCATAAAAAATACTGTTAATGCAGTGGCACAGCTATCTATACCTCCTGATAATGGAAGCATAAAACCACATGCTCCAGATCTTCTCATGTAATCCCATAAGTAACATGCTATGGAATCTTCAATTTCTGATTCATATGATATTGGAATATCATGATAATAAACATAATTCTATTATTAAGTTATATTAATATCTAATTTAACTCTAGGAAAATGCTTTTATTTAGATGCCATTAGTGATCTACTCTTAATGTTAATTCTAATATTTCTAACTTCTTGTAAATCTATATCACAAGTTGTTACTTCAACATCTTTGAGTGAAAAAGCATCACTTTTTGCAAAAACTTTACCATTTAATACTATGCATGAACATCCATCAAAGTATAATCGATTTCCATCACATCCTCTTAAATTACAAAATGCATAACAGGCACCATTTCTTTTCGTAATATCTTTAAATAGTTCTGTTCTTTCTTTTATTTTTCCAACTTCATAATGTGATCCACTTGAATTAAGTATTATTTCTGCTCCATCTAATGCTTAATTTGCACTAGTAGGAATGGGTGTCCACATTTCTTCACATATTTCAATACCTATTTCTGTATCATGAGTTTATAAAATAGCCACTCCAATTGGAACACATTTTTATCCTGTAGCTGTTTATATAATAGTAGGTAATTCTAAATCTTCTATTTCTTTGCTCCATGGAGTGAAATACCTAGATTCTCTATAATTCCCATCATCTGCTAAATACATCTTTGGTCTCACTAAATGAATCTTTTTGTTTAACAAAATCACTCTACAATTATAAAAAACACTTTTATGTATTACTGGCATTCCTATGTCACAAACAATATTTACTGTATGTGGAAGTATCTCAACAATTGCTTCCCTTAATATATAGAAAATAATAATACCAACAATGGGTAACAGTATCCGATTCTAAAAAGTGATCTTCACACATATACCCACAAATTTCTAATTCAGGACCGACTCTATATAAACATTGTTTTTTTTTGCAGATTTCTATACTTTCTATGATATTCTAAACATTCTGACTAAAGTCCATGGCCCATTAATTTAATGTACAAACTCCTAATCTTGTTATTGACATATTATTAATTTTTTTATATGGAATTTGCTTTTTTTCTCTTTGTAAATCCAACTTCTGGTGGAAATCGGGCAGGTGTGTATCTTTAATTAGATGCAGAAACAATAAAGTTTAATTTGAATCAAAAACCAATAAATGTTTTTTTCACAAGTCTTCATTAAAAAGACTAGGTGGAAATGAATTTAAGAAGAATTAAAGAATTTTAGTAGCGAAATGTTTAAGTCAGAGTTATTGTTTGTGGTGGTGATGGCACTGTTATGTGGGTAGTAGATGAAATGCATAAACATAGTGTTGACTTTAAGAATTGTCCTATAGGAATTATACCTTTTGGAACAGGAAACGATTTCTCAAGAGTTTTAGGATGGGGTGGAGATACAGATGGAGACTTAGGAGCTTGTTTAAGAAATTTTAAATAATAAATCTCTTAGTGGCTTAATGCTAAAATACATGATTTTGATCTTTGGGAAATAAATATTTGTGTAGATATGTAAACTGGATCATTTAAAAGAATTAAAAAATAAGGAGATTTATATCAAAAAGAAGTTTTATAAAAAGACAAAGATGTTTTGAAATAATTAGACAAAAGAATGTCAAATTATTTTTCTATTGGAGTTGATGCTCGTATTGGATATGGTTTTGATAAAAAAAGAACTTAATCTGCATGCTGTAATAAGTGTGTTTACTTTTGTGAAGGACTTAAAAAAATGTGCCTCAAGAATCCAACAACAAATTAAGTAATCTCTGGGATGTAAATTTTGAAAGAATAAAATGTAACCGTTGAATAAATTAATAATATTCCCACTGATATATTATTCAAAACAAAAGGTGCAAATACTAGAGAAGATCAACAACCATTAAATGAATCTAAATTTATATTAAGTGGAGATCCTATAACATTACTTTGTTTAAATATCTAATCATATTCTGGAGGAGCTGGGGCTATTTGGGATAATTGCAGGGGTAAAGTTGCTGTAAAGGAAGGTACTTAAAAACTCTAAGATAAATTTGTTCCATAGGATTTTGGTGATGGTAAAATTGAATTTGTAGGCTTTAATTCCATGATTGGGATGGCTAATGAAAGGTTAAATCAATTTTTATATAATAGGTTTATTCATGGAAATGCTGTTAGAATTGCATAAGGCGAAGGACCATTTTTGATCTCATTTAAAAAAAACGTATCTCCTTACTTTTAGATTGATGGAGAATATTTTCAAGCTGTAAATCCTACTTTTGCTTTATTAAAAAAATCTTCCATCCGTATAAAAGTTTTAATGAAAACACAAAATTGATAATTAATTATATAAATATTATTATTTATAAAAATATCATGGATGTGGAATTGACATTATAATACCTACCCTCATAAATGTATATCGAATAAATAAACATCTTTGTTACACTTTCAACTACAGATAATTTAATTTAATCAGTTAGTAAAGAAACCTAACTTAAATCTGAACAGTTTATCTTATATCTTTTTAAATATGGCTTTTAGGTTTACTTTTATTATATACAAGATTCGAATTGTGCATGGCTGGGATTGTGATTATATAGAACCATTAGATATTTTAAAAATCAAAGTTCTTGATCCTTCAATATCTTTTTCTCTTTTTAAAGAGAAAAAACATTCATAAGTAGATTTTAGTCCATATTTTTATGAAGAATCTCATAACGATAAATAAATAAATTTTTATGATACGATGGTAGATAAAATAAAAGGAAATAAATTAGATTATATTGAAAAGCATTTAAATTAAGAAATAGCTAATTAAATAAATAAAGAAGGTTGGACTTTATTGCATTGGATTTGTTATTTTGGTAAAATAGAAATTTTGGGAATTGTATTGCCTTTTTGTATAGATATTAATTAAGAAACTTTAGATGGATGGACTTCATTATTGATATCAATTAGATAATAACATATCTCAAGTAAAGATGAATTAATTATTTAGTAACTAGGTATTTGCTAAATTAATAAAGCATTAATGTGAATTTAGTAACCTAATAAAGCAGTGCTCTTCATTTAGCTTGTAGAATGGAAAACACTAAAGTTATATAAATGCTACAAGAAAAAGATGCAGACTTTTTAATTCAAGATCGTTAAAATAATAATGTGTTTAATATTGCCTCTTTAAAAATGCAATTATTTTTATTGAGTCTTGTAAATAAAATGACATTAGTTACAGAAATCTAATTATTTTCACAAATAAATCCATTTTTAGCAAAAGGGTCTTATTTTTCCCCTGGTTCAAGCCCTTGGACTATTAAATAAAGATATTTGGTAATTAACCCTTTGGGAGATCATCTTATAAGATACAAAGATAGATGCTAGACTGAAATTAGAGAATCAATTAAATTATCTTAAATATCTTAGGTTAATCCTAACTATACAAGTTTTAAGCTTAAAAAAGGCTTATTTTATATATAACTTTAAGGAGAAAGTCATAATGACTTAATAATAGGTTTACCAACAATTGATCATCTATCAAGATGGTCAGCCCTAATAAAAAAAGGTATAACCTACACAAAAAATGTTGCTACTGGATTGTAACTAAACAATATATTCATTAAATTAGAAGAAATCGACTTAGACTCTACTTCTACAAGCATTCCTCCAAAAAGAGATAGTTAGACACCAATAAGAAGGAAGATTTCTGATTTATCCTCTTTGATGCCTAAATTAACTCATTAGATTCCTAAATTCAAGGATTTCGTTTTAAAATCTCTTCTTATGATTGATTAAATAAGTTGCATTTTTAAAGCTCATTGTGAATTAGATGGATCTACTTATGCTTTAAAATGCTTTAATAAATAATTATTACTATAAAATGGACTACTAGGAGAGGCTATTAATGAACTTCGTACATTAACTTCTATTGATAATCCATATATCATATCATTATAATATGCATTTCAAACCCCAAATTATTTATATTTGGCATTTGAATATTGTAATGGAGGTAGTTTATACTCTATTTTAAATTCTTTAGAAAGAATCACAGATAATTAAGCTAAATATTATTTAAGTTAAATTTTAATTGCTTTAGAGTATTTGCATAATTAGAACATTATTTATAATAATCTTTGTTTATAAAATGTTTTATTGACTTTAAAAGGAAGCATTAAATTAATAGGTCTTTAAAATTATGGTTTCTAATCAATATACTATAAGACTCCTGAATATTTAGATGAAGGAAAAATTGGAAAATATACTGATTATTATTAGTTTGGAATTTTAGCATTCGAACTTTTATCTGGATGCCATCCATTTTAAGGTAATACTAACAATTAAATTATTTTGGGTATTTTGACCTGCCAAATAAGTTATCCTTAATATTTTAGCAAGGTAAAATTATTATTCAATTAAAGGAAGCAATAAATTTAATAAACAAACTCACAAATAAAAATTATGAAAAAAGAATAAATTTTGCATAAATCAGATAACATCCATTTTTTTCAAATATCAATTGGGAGTATAGTTTTTAAAAATTAAAAAATCCTATCAGATTAAACTAATTGAGAAATTATTTAAAATTAGAAAAGGTTAAATTTTTAAATATCATTAGATTGCATTTTAAGATGAGGATTATGAATTGCATGATTAGATTAATTTTAAAAAGGTTATCCAATATGATTATATTAAATTTACTTGATAATATATATTTTATTATAATAATAAAAAAGAATATCTACTTAATAACTAATATATTTTTCATTTTCTAAAATTATTGTATTTGATAATAAATTAACAAGTCAATTTTGCCCTTCATTCTTTTATTATTAGATTTAACCTGGTTTTTAAGTTTATTCTTTCAAGAATCATCCAATTATACATAAAATTTTTATTTTCATCTACTAATTATTTCGTTGATGGAACAAAAATAAAAATTTAAACTCAATTTTTAAACTGATATTATTGTTATAGATTGTAGAAAAATTAAATTAGGGAGTATAAATAGTATAGAGATAAATTGCACGAAATCAACTGTTGGCTTCTATTTAAACAATATCATTATAAGATATTAAATCAGGATTTATTCCATAAGAGAAAGCTTAATTTACACAGAATGAAATATGAATATCTAATTAAATATATTTAAATTAATAAGATCTCATGAGTCTGTATTTGTATATACAGTTAACTATCTAAAATGAGGCTTAAATTCGATTTCAAATGCTAAAAATATATTTAATTTTAAATTTTAGTATTTAACTTATTTATAAGTAAAAAATTCATCATAATTTTTTATGAATTAAAATAAAATTGCTCCTCAAAAAAATTAATATCTAGTATATTCTTTGATTTCATTAAAAAAATTATCAAGAAAAATTGAATCTGCTTTAAAAAGGATCTATTCTTTAATTGGATTATTTAAAGTTAAATTTTATTAACAGTTATTCTGTAAAAAATTGTGAATAATACAATGGGTAAAACTACAAAGGCAAATTGTTATAAGAGTATCTTTAAGACAGATATCCTTTTGAGAATATCCAATATTATGCTGTTAAGAAATACTATTAAATTTTATGGTAAAATATTCCAATTATAATTAATGTAAAAAAATGATGAGCAAATTAAAAACAGTAGAGGAGATTTTGTGAATCCATTAAAAAATAAAACTATTTATAAAAGCATCATTATACTAATAATTTTAAATTTAATGAAAATTATAAAATTTATTTTAAATAAAGCAATTTTATAATTCATGATATATCTTTGAATAGTTTGCTTTCTACTTCTTTTTTTAAAAATTCATATTCTTCTTCTGATAATGATTTCAATAATGATATTATTGCGCAAAGAATATGTTGTGAAGTTTCAGAAGATGCTGTTTAATTATTATTGCAGCCTTGAATCTGTTAAGAAGTTTAAGGTAGCATTGTTAATAGAATTGCTTCTTCTTAAATTTTATTATTAAACTTTAATGATGAGGTTTCATTTTTTTCAAGTAGCATTCCCACATTTTTGTTTTCATTAGTAAATTAGATATTCTATTAATCACATAATTTTGATTATTATATTTCTTATTATTAATTTTACAAGATTTATTTAGTTCCTTATGATAGTTTCAAATTTTTTTAGTTCTTATTTATATCTAATTTAAAATCTTCACTTTCTTTCTATTTAGATTTTTTGTCAAGAGATTTTTTTTTCGAGATCTTAGAATCTATTTTCTATATTTTTTATTTTTTTTCGCATATTTTTAATTTATTCTAATTGTCTTTTTCTTTTTCTTTCTCTTCCTCTTATAATACCTTTTGTCTTTCTTCTTATGAAATAATTATATCGTCTAATTTTTCTAATTAAACAGCATATTTTAGTATTTTGTATCTATATTTTGGATTTTTAGATATAGGATTATCGAAAAGTGTTAATGATTTCAAATTTGGTAATAATTTTAATAATGGAAGTTCTTCAAGATTTGATATCATATTATTTCTTAAATTTAGATCTTTGAGATGTGAACATTTAACTATATCTATAAGAGTATTAATTTTATTAGAAGCTAACTAAGCAAGCTCTAAATTAATCAATTCTTTAATAAAAGATATTTCTTCTAAATCATTTCCCCATAAGTTTATTGATTTAATATTTTCGATGATATCTGTTTTGGCTTTCTAAATGATAAGCTATTTAGTTAAAATTTTAGTCATTCAAAATATTAAAATGATTATTTTATTGAATTGAATTTTATTTAAATTTAAAATAATATTCATAAAAAGCAAACTAAAAATGATCCAAATAAACTGAAAATCCCACTCATGAACATGCTAACTGAAATGTCATCGACACTAGAGAATAACAAAAACCCTAATGGAATAATGAAAAACATAAATGCCTAAGAAAAAAAGGTTGTTAAATTAAGCATTTAAGGCAATAGACCTTTAATTGTATCCCTAACTTGCTAATAAATAAAATATTGAAAATAATACATCATCCTCTAATTAATTTGCTAATTTATATGGTAATTCACTTAAAACAGCTGTTTGAACACCCCAAAATGGAAGAGTAATAAAAATAGAATAAAATTCATTAACTGACCATGTATATAATAATGAAGCACCAGCCAATGCATTTACAATCATATAAATTGTACTTGTATAATGATTTCCCAATTATTTTAAAAATAAAGTTGTTAATAAATGAAGTATTGCACTCATACACAATGCCAAAGCCCCTCTGTATAATATTTAAACTATACCCCAGCTTATTCCTATATCAAATACAATATTTCTTATTGCTTCATTATATTATTATGGACCCTCCTCTAACATTGTTATTCCTGACCATAAAGTTGCATATACAGATACAAACAATTAAGAACCACAAGTAAAAAAATGTGATAACAAAAATATTTTCATATTTCTGGGCAATTAACTAACAATAATTATTAAAACTACAAAAGAAATGTTATTCCAGGCAAAAATGAATTAATGCTAAATCTCATCTTATGATTAGATTATATTAAATCTAATCCTTTTCTTGGAAAAGATATTAAAACCATTCCAAATCCAATTAATATCATTATCAATCCAACTAAATATGCAAACGATAAATTCTCTATAAAATTATCAAAGTTTAAATAAATAAAATTAAAAGCTAAAACACTTGAAACAAGGAATCCTGTAAATTTACCAAATGAATCTACAAATGTTCTGTATTACTATACTTTTTACTGTTATTTTGGATTTACATAATCCTCTAATAATGCCGAACAAGCAAACTAATTATTAAAATTATGATTCATACTCCAAGCATTTCTAAACCAACATCCATTACTGTAAAACTTATTATTGAAATTATTAAAACTGATGTTTTTTTATTTATTGAATCTACATATAATGATCTATATAATATATTTAATAATTACTTTGTATCTGCTAATAATCCAATTCCCATTATTGAAATTATTATGAAATAAATCATAGCGTTTTTTAATTGATGTGATTTACTTTCACTGTAGTATCGAATAAAAGGATAGAGTAATAAATTAATTACAGGAGGAAATAACCAACTGGAATATTGTTGTAATTTATTACATTGAAGAGTCTAAAAGTTCTGGAGTATCCAATTTCAGAAACAAAGGAGATATGAAAACCATCTCAATTGCAAACCCTCTCTATAAGTGTATAAATACCATACTCAACTGCAAATGTTAAAACTACTAAAGCTAAAATCTGTGATTTTGTTAAAAAATGAATCTTCTTATTTTTTAATTTGAATGCTTTAGTTGGCTTTGAGTTGAATTTTCCATTGAATTTATAATTCTTTATTTCTGTTACTTCTTTTCGTTTGCTCATCAAATACTCATTATAATGATCAATCTCTTCATCCTCATACATAATGAGTGAACTCATATATTATTTATAAAATAAAAACGATAAATTATTAATTTATATAATCATAAAACCAACATATACATGCTTCTCTGAAAAGCATTTCAAATCTATTTTTTAAATATGTTACTATTTTTAGATTTCTTAAGTTCATCTTATCAAATAAAATTAATCTCCATTTAATTAGAACATTTATTTATTACCAACTTAAATATTATGCAATTATTTCTTAATAAATCTTACAGCAATAAAGCAAAATCATTTTGTAAAATATAAAAAAATATTTTAAAAATACTTTATACACTAATATAACATAAATACTTAACATAAACATCTCAATATAATAAATTATTAATATTTTATATTATGCTAATTAATTTTCCTTTTTATTTTTTAGTAATTAAAATGAATCAATTTCTCTTAACACCATAAAGAAGAACAATTTGAATTTAAGGGAATTATATTATATAGTCTATTTGTTTTCTTAATTTTCTTGTTAATAATATTTACCAATATATTTTCAAGTTTGATGGTGTTATAAGAGTTTATACTTATATCAAAGTCATCGTTATATTGCTTTTTCTACTTATAAATAATTATTTACTAATTTGAAAGAATCCTCAATAAGATTAACTTTAAACTTCAATTATATAAAGTTTATAATATCATATAATAATAAATCCAAATCTTAAATATGTTTCTTCATTAAGTATCAATATCAGGTTTCTCTGTATTATTAGAAAAAACTGAGCACGAATATAATTTTACATTTCTTCCACTATCTTCTATTTTCAATAGACTTGGACGATTCTTTTTTCGTTTGATTTTTCTAAGTAATAATTTCTATTTTTAGTACTTTCTAAGTTAAAAGCAAAGGGAACTTATATAAGGCTATCTAATAGGTGATTCATCTTCTTTTATTTCTACTTAAGGACATGAGATACTTGTTGGAAAATAATCGTAGAGATGTTGAGGACCTTGATTTATTAAGGTTTCATTAATCATTTAATTAATTTATATTAATAAAATTATCCAGAATTTCTTAAAAGTAAACAATAATAGATTTATACAATGTTATCATAAACTTTCAATCATATTTATATGTAAAATTATGTCGATTTAGTTTTTAATAAAGTAAGTTTAATTAAATAAATGAAAATACTAATTATATAATTGTTTGATAATGCACATTGTTATTTATTGAGATAATTGGATTCTTATATAAAAATAATTCTAAATTATGATAGTAAAACTAGATTGATAAATTTTTTAAAATATTTAAAAAATCTACAGATAAATTTAGGGTAACTTTGATGAAAAAAGAAATTTGTAAGTCAACTAAATTAAAATTAATTTTGTAAACAGTTATCTAAGCTGAAAATTGGTCTCAAAAACTTTTTATAAAATATATATATGAATAAATATAACACTGGTTAATATTAGGATAATTTTAAATATGAATTGTCAAAAAAGTTTGAAGAGGAAAATATTCTGATAATGAGGAGATTAGTTATCCATAAAATAAGAGATTGGTAATAAATGTGTTGAAGTCAGTAAAAAAAAAGATAGATAAAAACTTTACTTCATTAAAAGGGTTCCAAATAATATTGAATTGAGCGATATCTTAATAGATTTAGAGTCAAAAACATCTTTTTTATTATTTCATTTAACAAATCATGTAGATTTAAGCAGCATTTTAAAAAAGTTCACTAGCATATAATAGAGGATTGTTGAAAAAAAGATATTTGATTTGATTTATAAGAATAAATGAAAGCATTAGACATTTATAATATAAAATGAATAATGGATCGAGATGTTAAGTATAAAAATATAATAATTAATCCATAAAAAAAGCCATTCAAATTATTAGGTCTTAGTTAGCAAAATATTATAATTTGGTTAAGATTATAATGTTGACGTACCATTCAGATATTTTAGAGGTTCATAAAAATTGAAAACATTGGTTTATATGTTTTTTACAATATTCATTGAATATTTTGAGTATTGGAGTAATGATTTATTATATTATATAAATTAAGTTTATAGATTTTTAAAAAGAACCATTCTTTTAAATAATAAATCATCAGTTGATAGTTTTATCAAAAGTATTAAGAACTTGAAAATTTAATAACTTATTTATAAAAGAAATTAGATCCATTTTTTAATCATCATTAAGAGAAGTAATACTTAAATAAAAATATAAGTGTTCCAGGGAATAATTAAAGTTTATCAAAGAGTAGAATAAATATTTTTACCCAGAAGAACCAATTGATATNGTTTTTAATAAAGTAAGTTTAATTAAATAAATGAAAATACTAATTATATAATTGTTTGATAATGCACATTGTTATTTATTGAGATAATTGGATTCTTATATAAAAATAATTCTAAATTATGATAGTAAAACTAGATTGATAAATTTTTTAAAATATTTAAAAAATCTACAGATAAATTTAGGGTAACTTTGATGAAAAAAGAAATTTGTAAGTCAACTAAATTAAAATTAATTTTGTAAACAGTTATCTAAGCTGAAAATTGGTCTCAAAAACTTTTTATAAAATATATATATGAATAAATATAACACTGGTTAATATTAGGATAATTTTAAATATGAATTGTCAAAAAAGTTTGAAGAGGAAAATATTCTGATAATGAGGAGATTAGTTATCCATAAAATAAGAGATTGGTAATAAATGTGTTGAAGTCAGTAAAAAAAAAGATAGATAAAAACTTTACTTCATTAAAAGGGTTCCAAATAATATTGAATTGAGCGATATCTTAATAGATTTAGAGTCAAAAACATCTTTTTTATTATTTCATTTAACAAATCATGTAGATTTAAGCAGCATTTTAAAAAAGTTCACTAGCATATAATAGAGGATTGTTGAAAAAAAGATATTTGATTTGATTTATAAGAATAAATGAAAGCATTAGACATTTATAATATAAAATGAATAATGGATCGAGATGTTAAGTATAAAAATATAATAATTAATCCATAAAAAAAGCCATTCAAATTATTAGGTCTTAGTTAGCAAAATATTATAATTTGGTTAAGATTATAATGTTGACGTACCATTCAGATATTTTAGAGGTTCATAAAAATTGAAAACATTGGTTTATATGTTTTTTACAATATTCATTGAATATTTTGAGTATTGGAGTAATGATTTATTATATTATATAAATTAAGTTTATAGATTTTTAAAAAGAACCATTCTTTTAAATAATAAATCATCAGTTGATAGTTTTATCAAAAGTATTAAGAACTTGAAAATTTAATAACTTATTTATAAAAGAAATTAGATCCATTTTTTAATCATCATTAAGAGAAGTAATACTTAAATAAAAATATAAGTGTTCCAGGGAATAATTAAAGTTTATCAAAGAGTAGAATAAATATTTTTACCCAGAAGAACCAATTGATATATAGTATAAAAATGTTAAATAATAAATATGTAGTATAAATAGATTATAAGTAGATATTATGAAATAAGATTAAAAGAAGTATTAGATCATGATGGATATTTATTGTTAGTAAAAGATTAGAGGAAATGAGATTGTAATTTATAGTATTTTATTAAATTATACATACAAATAAAGATTATATTAATGATAATCTAGTGTAGATGTTAGAGTGATGATGAAAATAAAAGTAGAAATGATAAGTGATAAAGAATGTGGATTTAAAATGAAAATAGTAATTGTGAGTATATTAATTTTAATAGGATTTTTAATTCTTTAATGAGCGAGGTAAACATGGATGAAGAGACTGAAAAGAAACTTAATGAAATTTTTCATTCAATTAAATTAGAGTATGATTAAAGTTAAGAAGCACTAAAAATGATAAAAAAAACAAATGATTTGGTAGGATAGGTAAGACATTGTTAATCTCTATCTACCCTATTTTATCATGCCAAAAATTTGGAAAACTCATATAAGGCATTTAAGTCTATAAAAATCAACAATCTAAATATCAACTTAAACTCTGATATAGTAATATATACAAAGGATGATGGTTAATGTGTTGCAAAAATCATAGAAATAATAGGTGTAATGAGATTTTAATAATACACTCCTATTATAAGAGTTTAATGGTATTATAGTAAGAACAACTTAAAGTAGATAATTGGAAAATACTTAGACTGCATAGGAGAGAAAGAATTGTTCTTATCTGATTAATATGATTTTATATAGCCAGATACAATTATATCTTTAGCAGAAGTATTAGATTTAAAAGATTTTGATAAAAAGAATATTGAGAAAGATTTTACTTTTTTTAGTAGGTAATCTTTTGATAATATTTACTTAGATCATTTTATAAGAATAAATAAATAATCCCACCTATTTAGAAATGGGATAAACAATGTTTATGTAATTTACCTATGAATCCAGATTAAAAATACATCTAATGTGATATTTGTTAAAAATAGTATCATTAGTAATGTTTAGGAATGAAATAAATCTAATATTTTGTGTATGTGTGTTTAAAGTGTAAAAAACAAAAGTGATTTTATAAGATAACTATAACTAATTAAGAATACATGAAAACGATAATATATTATTTATTAAAATGGCAGATTAATTGAATGCATCATTCATTAGACAATCTGAGGATATTATTTAATCAAAAAAAGAGGAAATTCTTTAGTTCTTTGATCAGAAGGGCTATAAAGCAGATTCAGCATTTGACGATTAACTTTGGTTTTTTCTAGAAATCAATTAAGATGAAGAACACATACTATGGAAAGTGATCAATGATACAATTGGATAAGATTAAGTTTATAATGATAATGTAGGGTTATTTATTTAATTAGTTTGCATCAGAAGCAACTATAGATACTTTTGTATAGAAATTATTGGATGAAGCAAAAATGATACATCTTAAAATCCTTGATTTCTAAAAAAATATTGATTATTTTAAAGATGAACTTACTAATTTTGATAAGTTTTTAAAAGTCATTGAAGCAAGTATGATAAAATTAACATATTAATATTAGATAAGGCTGAATATAATTAAGAAAATGCTTTAGTAATTTCATTTGTAGATTAAGTTAATTAGATTAGTGAAATGTAAAAAGTATTAAATAAATATCCATTTCTTAGTTTTATAAACTTAACTATAAAGTTGGAACAATTCATCAAAACTATCAACCACTTTATCCTGAAAATTCAAATAGATCTACATGTGTTTCTTTGGATAATACTGTTGATTCTATAACATTAATTGTAATGGGAAAGAGATTAGATAAAAATCTAGGAGATGCAAGAACATTAGGTGAAGATTTTAAAGAGTTAGCATAAATTAAAATACCTATTCTTGATATCTATTAATAAATTAGACCAAGACATTTTGCTCTTCCAACAATACCTTAATGTTATTTGATAGTAAATTACTAAGATTAAAGCTTGGATGCTCCCTACATAGATAATGTCAATGTTAATCTAAGATTTGATGTTAGACTCTCATTTGAAGATAGAATTAATATCATTAAATAACAAAAGGAATTCAAAACTGGATTAATTGAAGTAATCATTTCATCTTTATATTACTACAGAAATTCTAAGAAAAACTTAAATAAAGATTGGCTTTAATGGAACAATTGTTGTGTCCATTTAAAATGAATCCTAAATTATAATATGTTACTGCTAAGGGAATTGGATTAAAATAAGATTTCAAAGATGAACCTATTAAACCTAAAACTGAAAAAAATAAAGAGGATATCAGACCACCTAAAGATAGAGAAGCATGTTGCATAATATCATGAATAAATAAATATGACATCTTCATCAAAATATTAAAATTTTACCTTAATTTATATTCTTTTATTGAGAATCTATTATTATAATTATTTTTAGTCAAAATCCTAGAGTTAATCTATTTTTATAATTATTTATTGTCAAAATAAAATCCATATCAGAAAAATTATTAATATTATAGTTGTAAATCTTCATCTCCTTCAGGTGCATGCCAACCTTCAAAATTTTATGGCCATGGAGTCCATTCTACTTTTTTTTATTTCTCAACATTTCCTTAACTGACACTTCTTTATGTAAACTAATAAGATTATAACTTCTTAATAATTTATGGGGAATCAGGTTCACTTGGAAGCTTAATAGTTGACTAATACTGTTGTATCACTTAATTTTCATTTATTCCGTCTTCTAATGTTGAAGTTTATTTTTCTTATAATTTTAATATTGGAATTTTAGTAACTTTAGTTGATAAAGTTGATTATTAGATTTATCTTTCTTGAACAGTGATTGGTATTTCAAAGAGTTTAATTTTAGAATGTGATTTTTTTTCAAAATATTTAATAAGTTTAGGTTGTTTATCGAGTTATTTTTCAAGAGTAGAGAAATTATTCTTGATTAATTATTTATTGCTTTGAAACAATTATTTCTACTTGATATTTTTTGCAATTAAAATTTCTTTTCTAAGTTATTATATCTTTCTTTCGACTGATAATTTACTTTAACAATTTTCTAAATTTTTTTGAGATGTTGAAAATGATTATTTAGTTGGAGATAATCTAAAAGGTTTTAAGATACTAGGAATAGGTTCTCTAGAAGTAGGAATGTTATAATGTTAAAGATTTGAATTTCTTTATTCTAAATGGAATAAATGCATGGCTTTTACAGTTCTTGAAGTTTTAGAAGAGTTCATTATTTATATAATAAATCACAAATTAAATTCTAAAAGCTACTACAATAATTTAGGATCCAACTTGTTGTGTTGTGTTTATTACTCATTTTTAAAAATTTCATCAATTTATGTTAGAGAATGTTGACTTCCACATACTTTAATTCCAAAAATATCATCTTCATCATCTAATTTAATTGAGTTGTTCATTTTATCATAAACAACTGCACCAACTAATTAGATAGTATTATTTTAATTTGAATTATTCCTTTTATAAATCTTTGTTGAACTTTCTAATTTAAATTATCTCAATTTGGCTTTAAAATCTTAAATTTCTTTTTCTCTTTTGATTTTAATAGAGAAACCAAGACTCTTTTGAGATCTAGTAATATCTGTATTTTCCATGATAGAATCAATTTATTTACTTTTGAGAAGAGTATTTTATAACTCGAAATTTAAAATAGTAGCACTATTAATTAATGATTTATTAAGAAGATCACTATTTTAACTAATTTTACTAGTATCCATATCATCTTTTGTAATCTTTTTAGAAAGTGGTTTTCTAGGAGTTTGCATATTAGGTATCCATATATGTTTAAGTGCTTCTGAAGCTGTTAATCTTTTCAAAGGATTCCACATCATTAATCTTTTAATCAAATCTCTGCAACTAGAAGATAGAGCCAAGAACTATTATTTTTGAAATGCATCATGGATTGATTAACTGTAAAGTATATTAAAATTAATACCTATTGGCTAACAAAGCTACAATTTCTGCAGTATTATCTGAAGTGAATGGCAATACTCCTGTTAATGATTAGTAAATGATAACTCCAATTGCCCATATATCAACCTATTAGTTATATCCGTAGATATGGCTACTCATAATTTCAGGGGCTCTATAATGTAGATTTCCAGTAACTGTCAACATTTGATTTCTCATATATCTAAATGTATTATTATTGAAAGTAACAAATCTTCTTGAAACTCCAAAATCTATTAATTTGACTGTGTAATCACTATTAATAACAATTATAATACTTTAGATTGATAAGTACATTATCTGGTTTTATATCTCTATGACAAATACCACAACTATGTAAAGATCTAACACTTTTCAATAAAGTACAAGCTATTCTTTGAACTTCTTATTCTTTCAATTTTGTTCTTTTTTATAATATTGATTATAAATCTTGAAATGGCACATACTCCATTACCATATAAATTACATTAATGTCAATAAATAGTTTATAACTTTTTGCAATATAAGGACTTTTGATAATTGTAGAATTGATGAACGTTTATCTAATAATATCTAATTGTTCTTCATCTGGAGTTTGAATAATTTTGACTGCAAATAATTATTATGGATTATCTTTTTTCCAACAAATCCTAACTATCCCATTTGTACCTTCACCTAATTTTTATCCTAATGTAAATTCATCTTCAAAATTTGTAGATTTTACTCCTATTTATTTAAATTCTTCATCTTCCATTTCATCATCAGTAAACGATATTGATTATGTTTATTAGCCAATTAAAGGAGTCTATGTTTTTCTAATTGGCTCTTCATCATTTCTAGATGATACATTCCTAGCTGTAACCAGAAATCCTTTCATTTTCTCCATTTATTTATGAAATTTTGTTTGTATTCCTTAACTTTAGATCATTATTAATTTTATATGGATTCTATTTTAGGAAAAGACCTTACTAATAATACTATTGGACGTTAATTTAAATTAATAAAGAAAATAGGATCGGGAGCTTTTGGAGAAATATATTTGGTATAATCATAATCTAAATCTGAATTTGCAATGAAACTGGAAAGAAGTGATAACAAACATCCTTAAATCTTATTTGAAGCTAAATTATACAATTATCTTTAAGGTTAAGATTAATATGATAAAGGTAATTTTTTTATGTAATTCAAAGGAAGGCATTCCAAAAATTCATGATTAAGGAACTGACGGTGATTATAATTACATCGTCATGGATCTTTTAGGATAATCTCTAGAAGAGTTGTTCAATAAGAATCATAGGAAATTATCACTTAAATCAGTTCTTATGCTTGCAGATTAGTTAATTTAAAGAATTGAATACATTCACTCAAAATAATTTATACATCGAGATATTAAACCTGATAATTTCTTAGTAGGAGTAGGAAGTAAAAGTTCAAGACTTTATGTTGTTGATTTTGGTTTAGCAAAGAGATATATAACTAAAGAAGGACATATAACTTATAAAGAAGGAAAAAGTTTAACTGGAACTGCTAGATATGCATCTATTAATACTCATGTAGGTTTAGAATAATCAAGAAGAGATGATTTAGAATCTCTTGGTTATGTGTTAATGTATTTATTAAGAGGACAATTACCATGGTAAAATATGAAAGCTGCTAATCAAAAAGATAAATATAAAAAAATTATGGAAAAAAAATAAGAAACTACTCCTGAATAACTTTGTAAGGGATATCCAAATGAATTGACTCAATATTTATAGTATTGTAGAGCTTTAAAATTTGAAGACAAACCTGATTATAATTATTTAAGAAATCTTTTTAAAGTAATTTTTATTCTTTATTTGTTATTATTTTAGGAAGCATTTAGAAAACAAGGCTTTGAATGGGATTATAAATTTGAATGGATTTAAGAAGAAATTACAAAAGAAGAAAAATTCTTAGGAACTGCAGCTGATCCTAAAAAAACAGCAGAGATACCTACTAACATAAAATAAATTAATTTACAAACAATACGAACTCCTTTACTTATGCAATATTAATCAAGGTTATCATAATAAGCATCTTAAGAAAAAAAACGTAATTCTTCTTATTCTAAAAATAATAATTTAAATAGATAAATGACTGGACTACTTGCACCTAAAATTAATAACAATAAAGATCGAACTAGAAAATATTGAATTCATGTATAAATTATCTATAAATCTAATTTTTCAATCTTTTAGTTTATTTAAATAAAAATAGAGAGTTAGCTATTTCTATGATTTATAAATATTATCATTTTAGTAAAACATAGAATCATTAATACAATGAATCCTAGATAAATATAATCCTCTTTCTCTAAAAATTATTTATGCATTTGAAAATCATAAGTCAACATTTTCATAGAGATTATTACTTAAGGGAAAATTAATGTATTGAATTTACAAATAATTTTAGTTTAAGCAAATGGAATCTCTAAGATAAATTTAAGTTTATACATTCTGTAACACTTTACATAAATCTTTTTAATCAATCAATGATAGTTCTTTTATTTGGTCTTATTATATCGATACAACAAACATAAAATTTGATAAACTTTTTGTCTATTCAGTCAATAATTAGCCAAGCCAAGTCATAAGCCAAATCACTATAGTTTAAATTAGGTCTGATCTAATTTAAATTGAAACCATGTCTTTTGTTAAAATAGATCTAATTATTCTATCAAAATTGCAACCTTTATAAAAAATTAATAAACGGGTATTAGAGTAGTATAATTTTTTAAACTTGTCTCAGGTATATGAATGCTTTTTTTTTTTGGCTTCCTAACTAATTTTATTTTGTATATCTAAGAAGTACTTTTTATTAGAAATGCTTCATTAAAAATTATTTTATTCTAATTTCTCATTTCCTTATTATAATTTACATCATTTTTGAATTTCATTATTTATTTTGTTGCTCATTTTGAAATAAATATAAAAGAGAAATTTATCTATTTCATTTTTTTAATTTAAAATATGTGAAATTTGTAAATAAATTATAATAAATAGAAGATATCTATATTGAAACTATATTATTTGTAATTTACTTAGTTGATCATTAAATTGATTTATTATAAAATTTTACTAATATCAAAAATATTAATTTATTTATGGTTTATCATATTTGATAAAAATTAAAAGGAAAGTTAGAATTATAATTGTTTGATTGGAATAATTTTAAAATGATAAATACATTAAATATTTCATTTGAATGATAAAATACGTGCAAGATAATTTGTAGTTGACACTCTAAGAAAAATAGATGCTTTACAAAAACGGTTAAATTATTTTTGATAAGGTTAAGCAGGATGGAGGATTTATTAAAGTATTAATTTAATTTAAATAGGTTTATTGTTAAAAAAAGTTACCATAATATTTAATTGATGATGATTGGATAGACATGTATAAAAGGAAAATAATTTCATATGAATTTGGTTAAATTGTTAATGCTCTATTAATTTAGAGACCTCATTATTGTACTGATACTGAAGTGTTAGAAATTTGGAATTAAGATTCTTTAGCTTGGCGTACCTTATAAGTCTATTTAATCAGTATACCAAATGAAGTTACTGAAATCTTAACTTTAAATTTCACTCTTTAATAGATAAGTTAAAGTCATGGTGAAAAGTAAATATAAGTTGAAAATTAAATTGATGAGAGTACTAAAATAATTTAGGAAATGTAAGTGTCTTAATTCATATAATAAATTGAAAAAGATTAAACTAAAAATTAAGCATCATATTTTGGAATTATAAATCTTCATAAAAAAGCTAAAGAAATAAAGCATATTAAAAATTTTCTGCCCAAATCAATCAAACCTTAGGGCAATTATGATGCATTGAGTTATTTGAGAAATGATATTTCTACCATTAATGTACCATAATTAGAAATTTAATATCACAGCAATTGGAGAAGTCCATCAAAAGATTAAATTTGTTTCACTTAAATTATTTTAAATCTTGGTCCAGATGCATGCATTTGGATTACAATAGATAAAGATAATCTAACAGAACTTTAACAAAAAATCTTATAGATTGAAAATATTAATGTATTTATCGAAGATAAGATTTGGTTCAAAGATCCAAGCTATTTCTTATTGAATAATATACCTTTTAGATATTTTGTATAAAATAAAGGAGATTTAGTTATTCTTAGTCCTGGAACCTATAGTTGGTAAAAAACTGAAGGTCTTAATATATCTTGTTCTTGGAATTAAGTTACTTTGGATGAAAATTCATTAAAAATAATTATTAATTAATAGAAAATCTTTAAAGAATTGAATTATTTCAGTAGGTTTCCTTATAAAAATCTAATACTTGATTTAGTGATTCATGAGAATAATTTGGATAAAAATTTACTCAATTATCTTAGATAAGAATTACAATAATATATATTTCAAGAAAATTAAAATTTGTAATCTCTAGATCAAAAAAATTAACCTACTTTTTAAGTATAAAGAGATAAATCTTTTTGTACTTAATGTTAGAGAGAATTATTTATATACTTTTATGAGGAAGAATAATAAAATTTATGTTTAATTTGTTGTAAAAAAAATGTAAATCTTAACAATTCAAATATTAAATAAAAATATAGATTTCAATGTTTGAACTTCTTGATAGGTTCAACTTTATCAAATTGTAATATTGAGTTTTGCTCTAATTATACAGGAAAAACTAAATGTACAATCAAGGCAGATTAATAATAAAATTAAAAAAGTAAACTTAATTAAAAAGGGTTCATCAAAGCATCATATGAAAATAATGGAAAAAATAAAATTATTGAACAATAAACTTAAAATATCATGGAATCATCTGAAGATGATAAATAAAAAAGAAAAAATAAGAAATAAGATATCTACCAAGGTTAACAATTTATAAAACAAAAAAAAATTTGATTTATTTTGATTAATAATCATTGATAAATTTTACATATATAACCTTCTCTTACAAATATTAATTTTCTATATTTGTAAGACTAAAAGATTTTGTTTAAATTTATATTTATAAATTTTGATGAAAATTTGATTAATTTAAAATTACTAATAATTGAAGATTTTTTAATAAGATATAATTAGTTAGATTAAAATACAAATATTTCAAATCAAAACATAATTGATAAAGATTGAGAAAGCAAAAATACAATTTTGGAAACATGATCTTGTATAATAACCTTCAATATCAGTATTTTGACAAGCACTGCATGGATTCTCAAATATTCTTTCACAATTAGTTCCATTACAAGATTTTAATACTCCACAAGTTTATTAATATTCTTAATTACAAGAAGAAGGTCTTTCTGGTTAGCAATATTGATATTTTTAAACAGTAGCTTAATTTGCTATTTCTTCTCCAAAGAATAATATTTGATACTCATTACAATTTCCAATAAAATATGATTTGATATTAGATTAATTACAAGGTTCACAATTATTCTAAAAGGGTTGTAAACATGGAGGATTTTAACAAACTGCTGTTTCATCTAAAAAACCACAAACATCAATTTATTCCATTATTGTTTCACATTATTTCTTTTAATCTAAATTACACTGAATCACAGTAGGTTGTCTTTACCTAAGTATAAAACATATTATAATTACTTATAATCTGAGCATTATCCAAAGAAATAATTATGTATTGAGGTATTTCTACAAGCATGGCAATCATTAATAAATTAGACGAAACAAAATTATTTTTAGCAACCACTTTAAGAATCTAAAAAGCCGCATACTTGTTTTAGACTTAAATTATTTATAAAAAGAATACTTAGTTCCGCAAATACTTGGTCGAGGATCCGAGCAATAGTAAAATTAAGTATAATTTCCAGAAGAAGTAAATTCTTTATCAGTATCGTTCTTTTTATTCTCACTATTATCATTGTTGGTTTTTTAATCTGCATCATCTACGCATTCTCCATTTTTATATTTAACAACTTGATTAGCTTTACAAGCATAACATTAATTAATGAAAGTTTATATTGTCTACGACTATATAGTTAATCCACAAACAGGTGAATAATTATCTGAACATTCAGATTATGTAATTGAACAATCAATTATCTAATTTTGTATAAGTTAGAACAACAGATACATAAACATCTTATAAAATTATTACTTAAATATACAATAAATTATCCATAATAAATTCTTCTTAATTTTGTTATCTATCAAATAGAATATTTGCTTTAACATATCTAAAATATCTAAAAAATTTTCTATTTACAAAACATTATTTACTAATTACTTATTAGTAAAAAAAATAATACAAAACAAAATGAAAGATTTTTTACTCGCAATTTCTTCATTTTTCTTAAATTATCAATTTATTTGTTAAAACTATAAAAAAATGAAATGTTTAGAATAATTCTCTTATAAAAAAAAATTGTGTTTTTATAACATAACACAAAAACTAAATAAAGTTATGAGTAAAAGTTAATGTAGAGTAGATATAAAATATTATTTGAGAAGGAAAAATAATAAAATTTAATAATCTAATTTTGAAAGAATATTGTACTAAATTTATAAAAACATCATAAGATTTTTTATAATGCATTTAATCATTATTGTTTTTAGGTTTCTTGTGATTATTTTTCTAAGTAATCTATTAATTATTCAAGCCTATCTATGTTTTGTTTGCTTTTCTAAATTTCTTAATCTTTTTCAGTTATGCTTCTTTTTAATTCTTAACTTTCCTTAATTAATTAAACCATTTCTGAGGAATGCTTTCTAAACGATAATGAATAAATTTACTAAGGATCTTAATTATTATTATTTTTAGGTACTTCATATTAAATAGATTTAGCAAAAGGGATACTAGACATTAAATCAGGTTTGAATTAATTTTGACCAATAAATTATTGTTTAATTTAAGGAGCAAAATGCTAATGGGTTTCTATTTGTTTTTACTTGCTAAATTAAATTATTGGAATGGAATTATTATTGGATCGGTAATTTAGGTTATAGATAGGGTTATCTGGAGGGTGGTTATTAAATAAACATGAAATAATTTATATTATATATTATTTATAATATAGTTAATTCATATTGTTGATTTTGGCGGATAAATGGAAGTATTGTGTTATAAGTATTTTTAGCATTTTATAATGAACCTTGATGATACAGATTGTAATTCCATATAAATTAATTTATAGTTAAGACTCCATAAAAATAACAAATGAGCAAATCACCCATTACATATTTTAAGTAAAGTTCACCTAAGAAACTCAAAGAAGAATTCAAAAAATTTAAGATCATAAAGAAATTGGAATTCAATGATGATCAGATAATAATAAGATAAGATGGAATACTTGGACGTAGCAAACGTATTACTCCTAAAGAAAACAAAGGTAATAATAAACTATTTAATTTTAGTAAATTCAACCTACACTTTGGGTTTATTAAATTCTATAGAACTTAACCAACATAATGTGATAGTTAATAAATTAGTGAAACCAAGTGATGATGATTTATTCAATCTCTCTAGAGATGAAAATATTGTCTGTAAATGTAGAAAATCAAAATGCATTTAAAACTATTGTGTTTGTAGTGCTAACAATTAAGAGTGTTCCTTTAAATGCGAATGCTATAATTGCTCAAATAAATAACCAAAATCAGCTGTCTCTAAATAATCTGGATCTGAATATTTAGGTTGTAATTGTAGAAAATAAGAGTATATTACTTCAATATTAATTATTAGTTGTTCTAAAGGATATTGTGAATGTCAAAAGCGAAAAATCAAATGCACATCTAAATGCAGTTGTTGTGATGAATGCAAAAATTGTGATATTCAACCATTACCCTTTCATTTAGATAGTTTATTCTGATTTCAAATTTCATTTATTTTATTAATTATTTAATACAATCGTTAAATAATAATTACTTAAAGAAAACTTAAACAATTAATGCTTAATCAGATTAAACTAATATAATTACTATTCCTATTCATTTTAATTCAATCTTAAAAAGTAATTCCTCTTCTATTTAATCTGTGTCATATCTAATAAATTTCATGTATACATTTGCATTCTTAGATGCTTACAATGTGATATGAATTGTTATTGATGCTAAAATTTAAATCATTCATTATTTACATTCAGCTGGTATTTCTAATGTATTTAAGTTATCAATCTCAAAGTTAGTGATTTTTACTATTTACTCATCTGATATGGAAATTCTTAGAATCTTCAAAAATTTATCCTTATTTTTATATTCAAACTTCTTTTTATAAAGACTATTTTATAGCAAAATCAATTTGTATTCTTTTATCGGCTTTGTTAAGCTCATCTTATTAATAATTTATAAATAAAATCAACAATATCTCATAAAATAAATTAAATCCTTCTAAAAACTGTAATTTCTTTGCCCTTTTAATTAATAAATAATTTATTAACCTTATTATTGAATCATATATGTAATTATTTCATTTATGAAAATTAAAAATTATTATGTACCTGTTTAATAGCTTCAATTATTATTTTAGATATATAATATATTAATTTTATTATTATCATATTTCATTACTTCTTTTTTAAATAATCTACATAACTAATTCAATTTATATCATCCATTTTATCTAATTATTTTTAATAATTTTCCATATATCACTTTTTTTTCTATAAGTTCTTTTTAGTAAAAAGTAAATTTTTAAATTTTAGATATCAACTTTTTAATTTGATTAATGATCTTTTTCCTCAGTTATTTTCAATCCAATAGATTGGTAACATACATAATAATAATCATTTCAACATTTTCTTGTGCTTCTTATGTTTCTCTCTAAAAAATACTTTCTAAATTTACCTTCTCTTTCCTATTCTTCTTATTCTAATTTTTATTTTATTTAATTATCTGTTTATTTAATCAAACTAATTTTTATACATGTATATTGTTATATAAAAATTTTTATTCTCAATCTCATACCAAGCACACCTTATTGAATTCAATTTTTGGATAATTAATTATTTTGCAGCATTAAAAATGTCATATGATTCTTTATATTTTATAGAAGTATTCCTAGTCAAATTTAAATCTTTCCTTAAATCTTTTAAGAGTTAGATTATTATAATTAGTTATACAAGTTATTTAATTTAATTAAATTTAACAATAATATTTTATAATGCAATCTTGAATCATTTTTATAGATTTTTCGTCGAATAGAACTTATATTTAGTCTTCATTATCTTAATTAGATTTTTTCTGAAAAAATTGATGTATATTCCATCATTTGAATCTATCATATTTATATAAAAAAGTCATAGAATTTTTTAATTGTTTAAATTTAATTCTTATTTTATAAAAAATGTTTCTGGTTTGATTGCCATCGAATGGATTACTTTTTTTGGTATTTTTTCAATAGCATAAGTTAGATCTTTTTTGTTTTTAGTAATTCAGTTAGATTTATTATTATCTTTTTTAAATATGCTTGATTTCATTAATTTAAAAATCTTCCTTTTTATCTTGATAATTTGCTTGATTTAAAATTTTTAGAAAAGAATTTTTCGTGATTATTTCCCATCATATTCTTGATAAATTATATAGAGTTGTTAATTTATCAAGAATAATAAAAAGAAAATGATGTTTGAATAAGCAAAAATAAAGAATAAATTTTTAATTTTTCTAAAAAATAATAACTTATTTTCCTAAAATATTCGATTAAATTAATAATAATAAGCCAATAACCAAATAAATTTAATAGTTGAATAATATTAAGTAAAAATAGGGATATATTTTAAGGATGAGGATAAGAATTTTATATAAATTAAAAATTGTCATGTCTATTGAAAATATATTTTAGTTAGAATAAGTAAATAATTATTTATTAAAAGAATTTTTTTATTAGAAAGAAGATTAATTAGATCAGCTTGATGAGTTTTATAAAAAGAATTATAATAATTGAAGTAAGAAAAAAAGATAAAATAATAATTTAAGAGTAATTAGGAATTACAATGATAAGATTTATAAATTTATATAGATATCAATAAAAAATAAAAAATTTTCATGAATAAGCCTTTGAATTATAAAATGGATGTAAATTAGCAAAAAGGGTAAATAATAAAAAATATTGATTAATTAGTTTATTAATATTTATTTTAATGATAATCTAGAAATTGGCCTTAGCTAGTATTATTTTTTGTTTCATCTATACAATTGTTACTCATATTCATGATTACCACTAAATGATATCAAAGAAATTAAAAACAAATTATGTGCCATTATTATAAACCTATATGATGGATCACACTAATTATAGCAAGTTCAAATAATCTTATAATGTATTGATTATTTAAGTATGAAAGGAAACATCCCTGAATATGATTGAAGAACCAGGTTATTGTATAGAATCAGATACACTAGTAATAATTTAAGTTAATGTAGAAATTATTACATCCAGATATATTACTCTAGGATAAATATATTTTGAGAGAGTTGGACAAAGGAAACTTATAAAGGGAAATAATAAAAACTAGGATGTTTGATTCTATTCAAAACATATAGCCTTTGTAAAGTAACTTAATTGTAAATTTTATAAAGAGCCAACCACAAAATTTTAACATAGAATTCCTCCTTAATTATCATATTTTTATACTTTTAAACCAAGATTATAAGATAATTATCATTTTGGCTAAGGTTTAGGATGTATGTTTTAAAAATTAAATCATATACCTGGATTATATACTTTAACAAGTAAGAACAGTTTAATATATAATTATGCTAAATACATCTAAGATATGAAAAAAAATAATTTTAGTTAATAGTGTATAGAGAATGCATCTTATGTACCAGATACCTTAAGATTAAATGTTAAATCTGAGTGTTAATCTTTTTTTAAATAATTGAACAAACTCTAAGATGAATATAAAAATAATATGAGAATTTATAATGGCCCAGATTACTTGCTTAAAACTGATTAACATAGAGGAGAAGGAATAAGATTATTATTATAAAGTCAAATAGAAAATATTACCGAAGTTTATTAAAATGGTGAGTTGTGTGGAAATATCAGTGAGAAGATTATAGCTTAGAAATACATTAATTAACCATTTTTATATAAAGGACATAAAATAGAATTTAGAATGTATATATATTTAGCAAGCAGCAAACCTTTATAACTATATATGTATAAAAGAGCTTTAATTAAAAAATGTGCAAATGAATATAATCCATTATCAGAATAAATACCTGCACATATATGTAATACTGCAATTACAGAGAAAAGTCATAAGAATTAAAGTAATAGTGCAGAAAGTTAAGAAGAAGATGAAGAAATGTTTATTGATTGGAATTTAGAAGGAATTGAAGAATTATTAAAAGAATAAGGTAGAATACCTAAAAAATCAAATTGGCTTTAAGAATATCTTTATCCAAGAATTTATGTTAAAATAATTCATACAATAAGGAGTGGATAATATTCATTTTATTAAGACTCTAGATTTTGTGAGTTTTTAGCAATTGATTTCTTACTTGATAATGATTTAGATATATGGTTATTGGAAATCAATTATAATCCTTAAATATTAAGTGTAACACCTGATAGAATCAAAAGAAACTATAAAATGATTGAAGATACAATGGAAATTGCATTTGCATATTTGAAATCTAAATATAAAAGGATAAAGACATTTTTAGAGGAAGAATTAATGAAATATTAATACACTGGAAATAGAATTAGGCAGGTCGATTTTAGAAATCAATTTGGAAAATAGTTTAATTAATTATTAGATGATTTATCAATTGATTAAGAATTCAGTTTATCTAAAGATAACTTATATGCTCACATAATAGATGAAAGTAAATAAGGAAGTGAAAAATACTTTAATTTGATAGATCCTGAATGTATTTGAAATAATTCTTATCGGTTTGAGTTAAATAATATCAATTATATAAAATTATCAACAGTAATAGTTGTAGTTAAACATAATTTGAATATTAGCATCTTTTACATTTGTTGTCAGGTGTATAAATATGTGTATAGAATGTATTTTATGTGCAATCTAGATTGTTGAACTAATTTGCACTATTTGCATTTTCACAAAGTCCATTAATCAATACACAAGGCTATATTGTATTTCTTTGTGCTCCTTCCCAAACAAAAGTTCAATTATTTTATTCTAATTTTGAACAAGTTGCCCANACATCTAAGATATGAAAAAAAATAATTTTAGTTAATAGTGTATAGAGAATGCATCTTATGTACCAGATACCTTAAGATTAAATGTTAAATCTGAGTGTTAATCTTTTTTTAAATAATTGAACAAACTCTAAGATGAATATAAAAATAATATGAGAATTTATAATGGCCCAGATTACTTGCTTAAAACTGATTAACATAGAGGAGAAGGAATAAGATTATTATTATAAAGTCAAATAGAAAATATTACCGAAGTTTATTAAAATGGTGAGTTGTGTGGAAATATCAGTGAGAAGATTATAGCTTAGAAATACATTAATTAACCATTTTTATATAAAGGACATAAAATAGAATTTAGAATGTATATATATTTAGCAAGCAGCAAACCTTTATAACTATATATGTATAAAAGAGCTTTAATTAAAAAATGTGCAAATGAATATAATCCATTATCAGAATAAATACCTGCACATATATGTAATACTGCAATTACAGAGAAAAGTCATAAGAATTAAAGTAATAGTGCAGAAAGTTAAGAAGAAGATGAAGAAATGTTTATTGATTGGAATTTAGAAGGAATTGAAGAATTATTAAAAGAATAAGGTAGAATACCTAAAAAATCAAATTGGCTTTAAGAATATCTTTATCCAAGAATTTATGTTAAAATAATTCATACAATAAGGAGTGGATAATATTCATTTTATTAAGACTCTAGATTTTGTGAGTTTTTAGCAATTGATTTCTTACTTGATAATGATTTAGATATATGGTTATTGGAAATCAATTATAATCCTTAAATATTAAGTGTAACACCTGATAGAATCAAAAGAAACTATAAAATGATTGAAGATACAATGGAAATTGCATTTGCATATTTGAAATCTAAATATAAAAGGATAAAGACATTTTTAGAGGAAGAATTAATGAAATATTAATACACTGGAAATAGAATTAGGCAGGTCGATTTTAGAAATCAATTTGGAAAATAGTTTAATTAATTATTAGATGATTTATCAATTGATTAAGAATTCAGTTTATCTAAAGATAACTTATATGCTCACATAATAGATGAAAGTAAATAAGGAAGTGAAAAATACTTTAATTTGATAGATCCTGAATGTATTTGAAATAATTCTTATCGGTTTGAGTTAAATAATATCAATTATATAAAATTATCAACAGTAATAGTTGTAGTTAAACATAATTTGAATATTAGCATCTTTTACATTTGTTGTCAGGTGTATAAATATGTGTATAGAATGTATTTTATGTGCAATCTAGATTGTTGAACTAATTTGCACTATTTGCATTTTCACAAAGTCCATTAATCAATACACAAGGCTATATTGTATTTCTTTGTGCTCCTTCCCAAACAAAAGTTCAATTATTTTATTCTAATTTTGAACAAGTTGCCCATGTACATACATTATTTACAATTTAACATAAATTTTTATATTATTAACACTATTCTACTGATACATTTTAACATATTAAATTTTCGCATGTCTAAATTTTATTATTCAAACACTTCCATAACCAATATTGTCAAAACGTATATTATACCAAGAATCATTACAGTCAATTTCATTTGAATAACTTTAACATTATGTCAATTAACATATATTATTATAAGATGTGCCACATCTTTTTGATTATTATTAACATTCTTAATTTGTTAAACCTGTTAATTCTGTACAATTATTCAATTCTTTGCATTTTTTATTTTTATAATAGCATCTATCTAATTGTGAACATAAATAGAGAACTGTTTATTCATTGAAATAAGAACAATTATAATTAAGCACTTCAGTACATTGAAAATCAATATCAACTAAGCAAAATTTGCTTTAACTACATAATGTGGGTTAAATTATTTAATTACAAGTGCATAATGTAGAATATTTGATTGCAACATTCCAATTGGCTTATGTTAATTAATATGGTAGCAAAATTAGATAAATTATCATTTGAATTTTATTAATTTAATAAACAAACATAATTATAAAGTAATAGTCTTTTGAAATTCATTATTATTTTTAAGAATTTATAATCATATTCTAATAAAATCTGATCAAATAGAGCGATTATTTTATATAATGAAAAACTTATATCTAAAATAGGAATTGATATTGATTAATATCTAAGTTATTCAAACTCATAGAAGTAATTTGGATTTATTTCAAAATAAATTAAGATATCTCACTTTAATATCGATCTACAACATGAATATTAAGATATTCTGATAAAGATTATATCAAAACCTTAAATTCTATATAGGAAAATAAAAAAACCATCATCAATATTTGTATTTTACAAATTTCTATTTAATTATGAGATAGTAATTAAGGGAGAAGAGTAAGTGAATTTATTGGAAATGCCATAAATGTTTGTTCTTCAAACACTAGAATTAGATTAGAGTATTTATAAACATTAATAAAAAAGTTACATTTTATATCTTTTCCAGAAGTTTTGTACTAATTTAATTAGAATAAAATAAATTAATAAATCAATAAATCAAATCAATAGACTCATCAAAATCATTATTCCAATAATCATACCAGAGTGACTGTCAATAGGACATCCATTTTCTTATGGATCATCTTAATTATTAACAGGTTTTGTTTAGTCACATTCAATGCATTCATTAGTATCTTTATTTTTAACACATTCTATATCAGATGTAACTCCAACAGCTTACGATTAAGTTTCATCTAATAATCTAGATGATTCTCTCAAAATTCGTGCTCCTGGTGTTGAAGAGAGAATTGCTTTTGCAGATATTGAAACAGGTGTCCAAGCAATCTCAACTTTAATCAAATATAATGCAAATCCTTTTTAATTAAGCTTTTTTTCTTTAATAGTTGCTTTTTTAAATAACTTATCTCCTGTAAAATAGATTTCAGGATTCGTTAAGTAAAAACCTTCTGTTCCTTACTTTGTTAAAGTATGTTTTAACCATATCTAATCATTCAAATATAGATTAGCTTTATCTGTAGTTTTAGTACATTCTTAATCAGAACAGAATTACAGAGAACTAGTGGCTGTTGTAATACATTCTCCTGAACAATTCAATGTCAAGTATTAAGACAAACTTCCAAAATTAGTATCAATATTTTATGTTGTTGTTTTTTCTATTCCTGCAATAAAGTCAAAGTATAGAACTCTCTGTAAATTAGTTCCAATCAAGAAATCAAAACTATAATATCCATGAAATTAAAATTTATTTCCATCTTCTGATAATTACAATTCTTTTACAAAATCTTTACTTGGAATTGTGAATTAAAATGATCTTGTACTTGAACCATCATTTATGTAATTTAATTTATAACTTGATTCTTCTCTTATAAGGTATTAATTATTTTGGAATTTATACAATTTCAGAGATAAACATGATTATTCATTTTCTCCTTTTGTAATTCCTTTTAATATTACATCATTAAATTTTGAGTCTGTATAAGTTATAGTTATATTTAAATCAACTGTTCCATCTACATAACTTGTTGTTCCTTTAAATGGATTTGTTTATTTATCACCTAATTTTTCTGTAAAATCAAAACAGTTCTCAGAAACACATACTCCGAAAATTGTATTACATCCTACTGGGCATTAACCATTAACAAGTTCACAAGTTGCATTTATTATATTTAAAAGACTAAACAAAGCTAATAAAGATAGTATTATCATATTTAAGTTTATTATTGAAAATCTTCTATTTCTTATTCCTTTAAAAATTATCAATTATTCTATTTGGTTTATGATTTTTTAATATTAGTTATTTAAAATGAGAATTATTTAATTAAGAAATTTTAGAATTTATATATAAAAATCACTTAAATTAATTCAATTATTATTAATATAATTGTTGTTAGATTAATATACATATANGTGCTCCTGGTGTTGAAGAGAGAATTGCTTTTGCAGATATTGAAACAGGTGTCCAAGCAATCTCAACTTTAATCAAATATAATGCAAATCCTTTTTAATTAAGCTTTTTTTCTTTAATAGTTGCTTTTTTAAATAACTTATCTCCTGTAAAATAGATTTCAGGATTCGTTAAGTAAAAACCTTCTGTTCCTTACTTTGTTAAAGTATGTTTTAACCATATCTAATCATTCAAATATAGATTAGCTTTATCTGTAGTTTTAGTACATTCTTAATCAGAACAGAATTACAGAGAACTAGTGGCTGTTGTAATACATTCTCCTGAACAATTCAATGTCAAGTATTAAGACAAACTTCCAAAATTAGTATCAATATTTTATGTTGTTGTTTTTTCTATTCCTGCAATAAAGTCAAAGTATAGAACTCTCTGTAAATTAGTTCCAATCAAGAAATCAAAACTATAATATCCATGAAATTAAAATTTATTTCCATCTTCTGATAATTACAATTCTTTTACAAAATCTTTACTTGGAATTGTGAATTAAAATGATCTTGTACTTGAACCATCATTTATGTAATTTAATTTATAACTTGATTCTTCTCTTATAAGGTATTAATTATTTTGGAATTTATACAATTTCAGAGATAAACATGATTATTCATTTTCTCCTTTTGTAATTCCTTTTAATATTACATCATTAAATTTTGAGTCTGTATAAGTTATAGTTATATTTAAATCAACTGTTCCATCTACATAACTTGTTGTTCCTTTAAATGGATTTGTTTATTTATCACCTAATTTTTCTGTAAAATCAAAACAGTTCTCAGAAACACATACTCCGAAAATTGTATTACATCCTACTGGGCATTAACCATTAACAAGTTCACAAGTTGCATTTATTATATTTAAAAGACTAAACAAAGCTAATAAAGATAGTATTATCATATTTAAGTTTATTATTGAAAATCTTCTATTTCTTATTCCTTTAAAAATTATCAATTATTCTATTTGGTTTATGATTTTTTAATATTAGTTATTTAAAATGAGAATTATTTAATTAAGAAATTTTAGAATTTATATATAAAAATCACTTAAATTAATTCAATTATTATTAATATAATTGTTGTTAGATTAATATACATATATACACTCAAGTCTTCTTAATTATCAAATCTCTCTTCTATAATCTAAATTAAATTTTTATTTATAAGTTTAAATTTCTTTTTATAATTAATTGTATAAAATCATGATATTAAACCAAAAATAAAATTTTTTATTTTGGTTATCACTTTTCTTTCTTTGATGTCCCATCAAAATTCATCTTGAGATTTTTAATTTTTTGTAGTTGTCTTGTTTTCTTTTCCAAGAATTTTCTAGTCCTGTCACTTCTATAGAATGTTTCTTAGAAGAGATCATTTTAGCTCTTAATTTTTTCAATTAAAGCCTAAAACTTGTATAGAAAATCCATAACATTAATTTAACTGATAATAATAAAGTCTCTAAATATTCATTTCATATATTATTCTATTATTATTTGTCTAAGATATTCACTGTCTTAATCTTCGGGAATTCATTTCTCGACAAACTCTTTTGTATCTATTAACAATAAAAAAAATATCAACTCAAATAAATTTAGTTAGCTATCTAATTCTGTCTAATTTAGTTTGTTCTATCTGTTCTATCTGTTCCATCTAAATCCAAAGCCTCAATCATTTTTTTCATATTAATTTTAATAATTAAGTTCATCATAAATAATTATAATTATGTTTCTATAATATTAATAATATAAATATACCAATTTAATTCTAATTTAGAATCTCTTCTTTTTTATTGAAATACTGGTAAAACTTCTTTAATCACTTACTTATCTATCATTTTTTCACTTTTTATTAATCTTATTAATTTATATATTGAGATATTTGATATAATTATGATTTCATTTTTTCCAATGATTTTGAAAATTCCTCGTATTTTTTCCTCATTATACAAAGGATTTATCCAATTATGTTTTTAAATCAAGTATATTCTAATTAAATTCTATAATATATCTTTAAATCTAATTAAATCCTACATTATATGATGGAATAAAATCAGTGAATTTCATTTACACCACTTTAAGAAATAATCTTAGTATAGACTTAAGTTAATTTATTATCCTAAAGAATTTAAATTAGCTGTATATAAATTAAATAAACAGAATTTTACTTATCAAACTGTAAATAAAATATTCAAAATGAACAATTTGATATTTTGCTCTTACGTAATTCGTAATTTCAATTACACCAATATTTATGGTATAATTATTAATTAATTTAAAAAATATAAAAATATTAAATGAATATGAAAAAAATATATTAAACTTATCGAATAGAGAGAAAAAAGAAAGAATAGTATAAAATAATTATTTGAATATATTGTTAGAAAGTAATAGTAAATAAGAAATAGAGTCAAGATATCTAAATGAAGTTGAATTGAGTCTAAATATAAATATTTTTTGAAGCAATTTAAGTAAAAAAAATTGAATTAATTAAATTTTCCTCAAATTAAATTTATTTACAATATGGCTCATTAATTAGGTGTAATCCAAGAAACATATTAAGATGACTTATAGGGATTGATATCTAATTTAGAAAATTAAAACTATATAATCGATAAGAGAGGATCAATTTTAAAAAAAAGAAGAGATTTTCTTTTGGGAGTACTTAGAGATTGTAGAGAAGGAGAAACAAAATTATGTGACTCAAAAATTTCATGCAGCACAGCTTTATTTTCATCAATACATGATGATACAGATCAGTATCAAAAGCTTTAGGAAGAAATAGCTCAAAAAAATTAATAAATTTAAGAATTAAAAGATTCAGTAGAAACATTGTAATAAAAAATTCAAAGAATATAAATATGCAATGATGAAATGCAATTTGAATTATAAAAAAATCAAACATAATAATCATAATTTTAAAGAGGAAATAAATTAAGTTAATCTAGTATAATATACATGAATATTCTTAGTGATTATTCCTAATTTAACTACATCGACTGAAAAAGCATAAGCATCAATTAATAAATTCGTTTAACCTATATCAACAAATTCATTTAAATCAATAGATAACAAAGAACCTAATTCAAAAGAAAATACAAGAAAAATGATAAGAAGAATTTCATAGCAAGCTTCAGCTTCTGCCTATATATTAGCTGCTAAAGGAGATTATACCACATTGCCAGGTGCTTAAGAAGAATATTAAAGTTAAAAAAGCATAGGATCATAAAAATCTTTGTCAATTAAATGATTTAATAATTTATTTTAATAATACAAGATAAAAGATTCAAAATTTAAAAGCTGAATTTTATGAATGATGACTACTATTTTTGAGTTACTATGATGTTTCTGTATGTAATTTTAATGTACGTATAGCTGATAATGGAGATTTTTAATAGAATGTGCCTGAAAAAAGGCCACTACTTCTTTTGGCAGACATAGACATTTAGTATTAAACTTCAGTTAGAATAGAATATTTCTTGAGATCATTAATTTTACAAATTTATTCTTCCACAAAATCATTTTAGCTATCATATTTAGATTCAAGTTCAGCTATATTTAATTAATAAATAGCATTTTTAATGACTTATTAACCAGTAATTTATATTGCTTAAGTACTAAATTCACTATTTGAATCTATAAAAGGATGTTATAATGCTTAAATAGCTGTAACTCTATTCTTTGGATTTTTATTCAACAACTTTTTTAATAAATCCTAATATATTTTAAAATAATCATACTATTGATTAATCTGTAATATAAGTTCCATCAAGAGGCAAATCTAAATCAAATTGACAATGTCTATTTGATCTCAAGACATCATCAAAATTTGATCCTAAAAATAAACTACGTCCAGTTATTAATTTATAAAATATGCAGCCAGCAGAAAAAATGTCAACTTTACAATTATACTTTGAATCACCTCTTAAATTTAAAACTTCAGGAGCTACAAAACCAGGTGTACCACATTTTGGAAACAAATATCTATTATAGACTATTCTATATACTTATCTACAAGTTCTGAAGTTGCTAGTCCAAAATCAACCAAAACTAAGGATGAATGATCGTTTTTTCTTGCAAACATTAAATTATCAGGTTTTAAATCTCGATGGATTATCTATAATATATTTAATATATACATTATGAGAATGAAGAATTTTCAAATTTTCAAGTAATTTTTTCATAATTTTTTTTATACTTTAAATTGGTAGTCTTTTCTAAGGAAGAGCCTATATATTATATAGTATAATTACCTTAGCTTTCTCTAATTCTCCACTCAAACTTAAACCTTCCAAATATGAAGTGACAACATAAAATTTGTTATCCCCTTCATAAATTTCACTCAAATCCAAGAAATTATTTTAATATGACGATAATGTTCTAAGAATTTGTATTTCAGATTAAAATGCTTACTAAAATTATATGATATTATTACCATTCCGTTTCCTTTATCTGTAATCTTCAAATAAGACTTTTCAATTGCTTTTACTGCATAAACTTCTTAATCTAAAACATGTCTTGCACTGTACACCTTAATAGTTTCTTAATATTCATACTTTTGCTGAACTTCCTTTACCAATCTAAAATAGAGGCTAATATAAGTCTCCTATTCCTTCAAATAATACTTTTCCAGCTATAAGTTCTTTAAACCTAAAAAAATAATGAAGTTAAAGTACTTTTACAAATCCTTCGCTTATGCATGGAACACCTTCTTTTTATTTTAATATAGAAATTCAAAACTTTCCAATTCCTTCTTACTCTTACGAATTTCCCAATTTATTTTTGTATCAAGACTCAGTTTGATTTTGTATTTTGGATTTTGGCAATCACCGGTCTAAATTATAATTTACAATCTCTACTATTCCCATAACAACAATTTCATTAAAAACTGTTACATGATATGTAACATCTCTAAAAAAGTGTTTTCTAATTCCTAAAAATTTGAATTTCGCTTCATTATAGTCAATAGAATCCATTAATTATTGAGTTGGTTTTATAAAAATTATCAAATTGAGATTGACATATAAAATTAAATATCTGAATTATTCCTCGTTTTTCTGCTGAACTCAATACTTGACCAAATTTAAGAACAATTTAAATTACATTTTCAGTTTATTTAAAAATTATATGTCATACCAGTTCTAAAATCTATAGCCTAAATTGACATATTTTAGAAGCTGGAATTATAAAACAGTTAAAAAAAAGAATTTAATTAGTTTAAATAAATCATATTGTTCATTACAAAATGTATTGAATTTCCCTTGTATTGAATTTCACAAATCTATTGAAATCAATTGAAAATATTTTTGTTTAAAATGATCTAATTTTATTATTAGTTTAAAGCAAATAATAAATAATTATAAAAATTTATTAATTTCATTATTTTTCATAATTATTTATGGAAAATTGTATAGAAATTTTTTGAAAATTAATTGAATATAAGGTAGGTTATTTTCTAATTTATAAGAAAAAGTTTTGAGATTCTCTTTTTCTTTAAAAAAATTGTTCATTCAAAGGTAAACTTCGAAAATAATTTGTTGGAGAAATTGAATAATTAATACGCTATAAATATATCTCATTTTTTTTAATAATTAGTATGAAAGAAATTATAATTTTCTATTTAAATTATTAAAGTTCAAATCCATTTTAAAGACATTATGGAATTTTGTAATTATTTAGTTTTAAATTAAAATAAAATTTTTTTTAAATTCAATTTCATAAATTTTGGACCTTAATTAAACAAATCATAAGATATAACTAAAAAAGATTTAGAATCAAGAAAAATTCAATAAAATAAAAATTTACTTAAGAATAAGTATCCAGTATGATTATCAAAAACTAATTATGGTAGGAAAGCAAGGGAAGCTTAATATTAATGCTTTATTAAATTATTTATAGAGTATTTAATTTATTATATCATAAATTTTAATATATGATTAATAAAAGTTTCTATCATAATTACCTTACTTTTTGCTAGAAAAAAATATTATTAATTTAAACTCAAAACGTAAACGACAAAAGTTTATGGTAGCTTATTATGAATCTAACTTATTTTTACTTCTAACAATATCAGTACCCGTAGATTACTAAAAGAAAAAAGTTGCGACCATTTCTACCTTAATGACATGCTACTCTTATTAAGATTGGATATTAATTGTTAAATGCATTTTAGATTATTATTTTTATCTATTAGTTAATATATTCCAATTTAATAAAAGCGACAGGAAGTTCTAAATTTATAATAATATTAATAATAATTTGTTTCAAATAAATTTATCTTAACATTAAAAAATATAATATTTAAATGTTTAAAGTGAATTTATTCTTAAATTTTATTTACAATGAAAATGATGTATAATTGTGTTATTAGTATTTTTAAACGATTTCTGCTTTATTTTTGAAAAAAGAAAATTAATAGATAGAAATATTGGTCTTTAATTAAAGGAATAACATAGAGAAATTAGCACTCTCGAAGTATCAGAATGATGGAATTATGCTAATATGCTTTTCATATTATTTTTAAATTGCTTGAGTTTAATTCTTAATTGAATGGCTTTCAATTATTAATAGAGAAATACTTTGATAATTTATTAAATAAAAAAAGATATTAAGTTGAATAAACAATAAAAATGATATGGACAAGTATTTATAAAGTTTTTCTTACTTTTTTTTGTTATACATTTATAATTGTATTTTAAGATATTAATAAATTTAATTTTTATGTATTAAAAGTTTGAAACTACTCCCTTCTCATCATTTAGATAATAATACTTTAATAATTTAAGAGAACAATCATGTTTGTTACCAGCATTAGAAGAACTTTGTGGAGGATGTATTAAGATATAATAATAAAATCAGGGACTCAAGAGACATTAAAATCCATATTATAGAAATTGACAAAAAAGAATTAAGCTCCTTTACCTTTATTTTTTGATTCATCTTAAGCTATGGATTCGATCTCGAATAAAAAGTAAGCTTTGGCTACAGTATTTCAATAATTTGATTCAAGAGGAATAGGAAGAATTGATGCAACAGAATTATTTTCAGTTATGCTACTTCTGTCAACAGGAGAAATTAGTTAAATATTTTATAGTAATATACTTTTTGATATGAATAGATATTGCTGTGATTTTTGGTTCAGATAAGACTCATCATATCACTTCAGATGAATTTTTCTTTTTTATTGATTGTTTATTTAGAGGAATTTCTAAGGTATTAATCTGTAAGGGAGAAAACAAGCCTTCAAATTTAAATAAAAGATTAAATGATTAAGATATTAATAAGTTTATTTAGTAAATTTTCAAGGGATAGTAAAAAGTAAATAAGGATGAACTATATGCGTAAGAATAATAATAAATAAAAATAGATCTGTAAAGCAAAGTTAATAATTATTTGAGTTTATAGAGTATATTTCAACTTCTATGCAAGCATCTATGGAATATACAAGATAATAATCATTATTAATGATGAAAATAACAATGGAAGTTAAAAAATTGATGGCTTAGATGTTATCTTAGATAGATGGAACTGCAAAAAAATGATTAATTATTTATTTGTTTAAATAATCAAGAATTTAATATTTTTATAATATTATTTCTTAGAAGAAAATAAATAGAAAAATATGAAAAATCATAAAAAAAGTGATCAAATATATCTAGAATTGTCAGGGCGATTTATAATATCAGTTTTTGTTGCAAAATAGGCTTAAACCTTTTTTTTAGCAACAGGGATATCTACTTCTTTATTGGCAGTAAAAGTATATTCACCAGGGAAATGTATATTAATAAGTCTTCTTGTATCTTCACTTACCATAACTTTTCCTGCTTCTCCTTAAGATTCCATTTTATTGGCAATAACAGCATCAATTCCAAAAATATCATATCTAACTATATCTGTTCCAATAATTCCACCATAAAATTGACCCTAAAATTAATCTTAAAATAAATTACAGTGTGTATTCCAATTCTCATATTTAAATCTTTGAAATTGACTTCTTTTCTAACTCTCTTAATAATTTCAACCATTTCTAATCCCATCTCTAGTACATTTTTAGCTTCTTAACCAGGATGTCTTTATTCCATATCATTTATTCCTAAAACTACATAACAATCTCCAATTGTATAAACTTTATAGACATTTTATTATAAGCATTCTTTATCAAAGGAAGTCATAAGTTCTCTTAACATTTTAACAACTTATTCTGCTGATACTTTAGCAGAATAAGCAGTAAATCCACTAATATCAGCAAATAAAAGAGTAGCATCTATTAAAACATCTGATAATTCTAATTTAATTTTGCTATTTTAATAAAACCTTGTTAAAATATGTGAAGGCAATAAATTAGTAAGTAATGAATCTCTTTATTCTTTTTTCAGATTTTCATTGGCAGCACTATTAAAGTTTTTAATAGTCAATTCAAAATTATTATGTGAAACTATAACTAAGATAATTGTGGATAAAACTATGAATACTAACAAATTGTTATGTTCATGAAGAAGTAGTTAAACAAACCATGCTGCTTATTGTAATAGGATATAGAAAAACATATACTTGAATTTTAATGATTATTAATTAACAGCTGAAAATGCAAAGAAATAGGCTTCAGCATTATCAGAAATAAGAAATCTTTATTGATTATTAAAAGTAACAAAGAACATGGTTAAAAAGGCACTTACGTAATAAAGGCCAGTTAATGCCAGATCTAAATTATGCATATTGTATTTCTTTAATCTACTGGTAATAAAATATAATATTATTAAATATAGACTTAAGAACATTCTAACAATATAAATAGTTAATCCATCTGATCCTGAATCTATTAATTAAATTTAAGCTTTAAATAAAGTATAGACAATAGTCATAGGATAAAAGATATCTTTTAAGGCTGATCTAACTTCTTAATAATATTATTCAAATTGCATTACTATAATATGTTCATTACATTTTTCATATTCAAGTGTTAATTTTTTATATTTAAGGATTTCTAAGTCTTTAACTTTTTTGGCTCTTTCAATTTTGACATCAGTTTCAGATCCATCTATATCATTATCAGATACTCCAATAATTCTGTTTTCAGGGTCTTTTTCTACTTATTTCATTTATATTTCATCTTCCTTTGTTTCTTCCCAATCATTTGTATTATAATCAGTTTTCTGAATGATTTAGCTCTTAGCTCTACCTTACCATACAGTTTCACTTACTGAAGTATAATCTTCTTTAACAGTGCCTTTTTTAATTCCTCTTGTTGGTTCAGCTCCTTTATTTTTTCTTGTAACTTTAATTAATTGGGAAACTTGCATTGAATTATTAACAAGTTTAGATCTACGTCCATATTCTTTAGTAGTTAAATGATCATTTCCTGAGGATGGAGGAGATATATCTTTATATGTTTATTTTAATTAAGTAGTTCTTAGATTACTTGTTTTATGAGTTCTAAAAGTGAGTTATCTTCCATTTTTCTAACCCTCATAAAATCTAACTTAAGATTAATGTTTTTTTATTTGTAATTTCCTTTAAGTAACTTAATGAACAGTAAGTTTACCTTTTCCTTTAGCTTCTACTTCTCTAGATGTAAATAGAAATTCAGTATCTTTGACTCTTTCATAAGCTTCATTTGATATAGTTATTCTACCTACTTCTCCAGTTGAACACATTCTTGATGCAGTATTAACTGTATCTCCTATTAATGAAAATTATGGTTTATGATATCCTATCACTCCTGCTATTACTTATCCATAATGAATTCCAATCTTTATTTTTAATTTAAATAATTTCACTACATCCTAATCTCTGTATTCATATTTAAATTCAGATACTGCCTTTAAAAAATCAAGTGATAATTCTAATGCTATAGTTGTCTCATTCTTTTTCTATTAATTCAAACCATCCTTATTGTTTTCTATTTCTGTAGATTTCAATCCTGAACATGCCATATAAGTTTTACCTACTGTTTCTATCTTTTATACTCCATATTATA